AGAATTTCATGTTTTTACATAATTTAAAATCACAATATCTATCCGTATTTAAAATAACCCATGGGTTGTTTAATTGTTTTTTACTCTTTGATACTAGATGTTCAATATTTTATAATTCACATTCAAGGAGAGTGCGGGCTTTCTTAAAAAATCACCTGCACGTACAGACACCTTTCAATGGATATTGTTGACTGTTTCAGTATATATTGAATTCATTTTTTAATCAACTATGCATGAAATCCATTTATAACTGTGATCAAGTATTTAGTTTGATGTATCTTAATGTAAATATGATAGTTTTTGAAAAATCTATCACTATCATGAATCACTTATTTTCATTTCTGCCTGGTTCTTATAAATAGCTGTACTTAAAAATATTCCTTATATTTACATGTTTGGAAGCACCAAAAACATACCCAATGTTTGAATTTCTCGCTGTCCTATATCGTTATACTTTACTAACGTCGCTGTGGCCTTATTGTGAGTCACATTAACGCACGTTCCTCTGTGTATATTTCTACGTGCGAGTATACACGAAAATAGCTTTCAAATCAATTTCACATTTAGCTTCGTAGAAACACATAGCAAATGTAAATATATAGATATTAATGTGCAGAAAAGCAGATAGATGCATAAGCTGATGGTATAAAAACACTAATTTTTTGAGTTGGCTGTAATGACATGTTATAATTACCTTTTTAAAAAAATTCAGGGTCTTCTGCACAGTTATCACATGTTTCATCTGAAGTTGACACTTGCACTGCGTTTCTTAAGCTTCAGCTTTGGTTTCGGACAGTTCGCTTTCAAGATTCAGAGATAGATAATTCCGAAAATCTATGATATTTTGAATCCTTTTCGAAAAATGTTTGTGTCAAAAAATGTGTCTGTCAAATTATCTATCGTATTTCAAACAAATAATGGTTTGTTTCCCAACATTTGTTATTGAATTTCATCATTGCATAACAGGAGTGTATTCTTTTTGGTCAAACAGTTTAGAATTCCCAGCATAGGCAATGGAATGTGTGCTTTCAGTTATTTGGAGGAATCATCGGCATCACATCCAGAAAAGAAAGAAGGATTTTTTTTCGGAACATATGTACAATGCTACAAACCCTCGAAATCAAAATTATTGTCAAATTCTTTATTAACCATGCTATTTTTGATTTCCGTTAAGAGGGCTAAATATCAATTTCCTGTAATGGAATGAAAATCATTCAACCATTGAATGACTGATTTTGCCACATCAAAGATGTCCTTAATTTTAAGGACAAAGTTATAGTAAGTATATACTCTACTGTACCCGAAGCTCCGATCCCTAAAGATAGGTTGCTACGTTTCTTTAGCGTTCCAGCATATAAAACTAAATGATGTTCGGTATTTTGACAATACCATATCCTATAAATAAAATAAATGTGAATTGAAATTGAGTTCAATATTGTTTTTGATCATGTATAAAGGTGTATATTCAAATGCACTAAAGAGAGGACGATGAATAATACTCTTATTTTGCAGTTTTTTTGCTCTCAATACCGCTGCTTTTACTTCCTGCACTTCTAACACGATGTCTTGCACATTTGACATACTTGTCTTCACCATTTCATACTGATTTTCCATTTTAACCTTTTCTATAATAACATCCTCATCTTCCTCTTTTTAACTCAGATTTTGAATGCAATTAAAGACATCCAGGCAATTCTTTCCATTTAAGTTTTCCAGTTTGTGCAGATATCCAACATCATCAACCACGTGTCATCGAATTCTGTCTGAGAGGTGGAGGCTGAGCTCACGTGTGCAGTCAAAGAGTTTCGGATTATCCTGATTCGCTCCACATCATCATCCACCCTTATCTCTCCTGCTGTAGGCATACTGTTGCCTACCCATTTTCCTTTTGCTGGCTTACTGCCTAAGGGATCCTTGAACAAACATTTCTGATCAACATATAGATCAATGAAATATCGAAATTCTTATATCCAGAGCTTGCAGCTGTTTTCAAGAGATCTTCCTGATCTGAGCGTAAAGTTTTATAAATTGATGATGTCTCTACTTTGTTATCAAGAAGGGAAGGTGTATTTCCCATTCAAGCACATGTCGGTATGCCTGATTTAACATGCCGTTTGTTACCATTCCCGGCTTTGAAAATCCTGCTCAGTCTGCCAGTTTTGGAATAATTATCCAGCCCTTTTAGAGACGATGATAATGAACATGTTTAAAAGACCTCGAAATTGTATTGAATGTTGAGTCCTCCAAACACCAAAATGAATTAAAGTCTTTCTAACAGGGTCTCAAAATTAATTTCCAACAACCCAATGTCTTGTATTTTTACAAAAAACAGTAAATGTGAATAAAATTAAAAAAAAAAACCCATATAAATCATTTTTGTTGGATTGTGATTTCAATATAGTTTGAGTTATAAATGTATTCCTAACTGCGTTCTACGTGTAGTAATCTTAATCTTAATTTGAAGCATCTTTTGTTTCAGGCTTCACCATATTCTTTTTAATTTCTTTTACATCGGACATTACTGCCTTCATCATTTCATACTGACTTTCCATTTTAACTTTTTCTATAATAGCATCTTCATCTTCCTCCTTTAAATTCAGTTTTTGAATGCTATTAAGATCGTCCAGGTATTTCTTTCCAGTGAAGGTTTCCAGTCTTTGACAGATATCCGACATCACTGACCAGGTGGCATCAAATTCTGTCTGAGGGGTGGAGGCTGAGCTCACGTGTGCAGTCAGAGAGTTTCGGATTATCCTGATTCGCTCCACATCATCACCCACCCTTATCTCCCCTACTGAAGGCAAACTGTTACCTCCCCATTTTCCTTTTGTTGGCTTAGGGATCTTTGAACAAACATTTCTGATCAACATATAAATCAATGAAATATCAAAATTCTTATATCCAGAGCTTGAAGCTGTTTTCAAGAGATCTTCCTGATCTGAGCGTAAAGTTTTATAAATTGATGAGGTCTTCACTTTGTTGTAAACAAAAGAAGGGTGCATTTCCCACTCAAGCACATCTCTGTATGCCTGATTTAACACATCGTTTGTTGCCATTCCAAGCTTTGCAAATCTAGATCGGTCTGCCAATATTTGCCGATTGCTAGTATTGTTTTCTTCTTTCTGAAACAAAATGAACCTGAATTTAATCAATCAAATATGAACATGAATTAAATTAAGCAAAATAAATATTAATGTATACACTCTACTTTGAGAAAAAGTTTTTTTTAAAAAAGAAGTTTTTATTACCTTTTTAATATGATACAATTAAATAGGTTTTACAGCAATGCTAAATTGATGACGTGATCAAGCTTAAAAGAGTAAAAACTAGAAATATGTCCATAGAACATGAATGCCCCGCCGAGGATATATTAGTGAAGCAACATAAAAATGTGTAGGTGTGTAAAATTGATCAGAATATCTTGAATGGTGATGCAGGTAAATTGCTTGTTTGGAAAATATAGGTCAGATTCAGCATCCGAAACAAGTCTGGTAATGTCCTTCCCTAGATGCATCATCCATGCAAGTTTGGTCCAGGTACGGCTTATAGTTACTTGGGAATCAAAAAATAGGTCAGATCCAGCATCCGAAGCAAGTGTGGTAGTGTCCATCCCTAGATGCATCATCCATGCAAGTTTGCTTCAAGTACAGCTTATAGTTACTTGAGAATCAAAATATAGGTCAGATCCAGCATCTGAAGCAAATCTGGTAGTGTCCATCCATGCAAGTTTGGTCAAGGTAGGGCTTATAGTTACTTGGGAATCAAAGCATAGGTCAAATCAAGCATCCGAAGCAAGTCTGGTATTGTCCATCCCTAAATGCATCATCTATGCAAGTTTGGTTCAGGCACAGCTTATAGTTACTAGGAAATCAAAATATAGGTCAGATCCAGCATCCGAAGCAAGTCTGGTAGTGTCCATTCCTAGATGCATCACCCATGCAAGTTTGGTTCAGGTACAGCTTATAGTTACTAGGAAATCAGAATATAGGTCAGATCCAGCATCTAAAGCAAGTTTGGTAGTGTCCATCCCTAGATGCATCACCCATGCAAATTTGGTTCAGGTACAGCTTATAGTTACTTGGGAATCAAAATATAGGTCAGATCCAGCATCCGAAGCAAGTGTGGTAGTGTCCATCCCTAGATGCATCATCCATGCAAGTTTGGTTTAGGTACGGCTTATAGTTACTTGAGAATCAAAATATAGGTCAGATCCCGCATCCGAAGCAAATCTGTTAGTGTTCATCCTTAGATGCATCATCCTTGCAAGTTTGAGTCAGGTAGGGCTTATTGTTACTAAGGAATCAAAATATAGGTAGATCCAGCATCCAAAGGAAGTCTGGTACTGTCCATCCCTAGATGCATCATCCATGCAAATTTGGTTCAGGTAGGGTTTATAGTTACTTGGAAATCAAAATATAGGTCAGATCCAGCATCCGAAGCAAGTCTGGTAGTGTCCATCAATGCAAGTTTTGTCAAGGTAGGGCTTATAGTTACTTGGGGAAAAAAATATAGGTCAGATCAAACATCCGAAGCAAGTTTGGTGGTGTCCATCCCTAGATGCATCATCCATGCAAGTTTGGTTCAGGTACAGCTTATAGTTACTTGGGAATCAAAATAAAGGTCAGATCCAGCATCCGAAGCAAGTCTGGTAGTGTCCATCCCTAGATGCATCATCCATGCAAGTATGGTTCAGGTACGGTTTATAGTTACTTGGGAATCAAAATATAGGTCAGATCCAGCATCCGAAGCAAGTCTGGTAGTGTCCATCCCTAGATGCAACATCCATGCAAGTTTGGTTAAGGTAGGGTTTATAGTTACAAAATATAGGTCAGATCCAGCATCCGAAGCAATTTTGGTAGTGTCCATCCCTAGATGCATTACCCATGCAAGTTTGGTTCAGGTAGGGCTTATAGTTCCTCAGGAATGGACCTGCTCCAAAAACTTTAACCTTGGCACTCATCTGGAAAATGTAGGTCAGATCCAGCATCAGAAGCAAGTCTGGTAATGTTCATCCTGAGATGCATCATCCATGCAAGTTTGTATCAACATGTGAAGTTTGATAACACCATTTTGAATGGTATGTTTAATACTGAGCTAAACACTTATTTGAGAAAAGTGAGGGCAAGGTCAAAGGAAAGGTCAAGGTCAAGCAATATTGATGCAGTTGCATAGCTCTCATTAATATCTATCAGCATATGAATTTTGATGAAGATATCTTGGATAGTTTCTTTGAAACTTTGCTTTGAACAGAGCTAAACGCAAAGTGTGACGAAAGGACGTAAGAACAGAAGAACGGAAGGACGGAAGACGGACATGACAAACACTATATGCCCCGGCCATTTTCATGGCAGGGAATAAAAAAACTATTCTGCTAAGGGCATGGCATGAATATACAAATAAACAGACAAAAAGGGTAATCCCATATACCCTAATCAACTCGGTTTTTTTGTGGAGTGAAGGGTATAATGGAAGAAAGATAATTACCTTTTCCCAGAAGCTAAGAGTTCTTTGTACATTTATCACGTGTTTCTCCTGAATTTGACATTTGCATTGTGTTTCTTCAGCCTTAATTTTGGAGAGCTCACTTGCCAGGGTGAAAGATAGATCTTTCTCATTACAAATACTGTTTTGACATTTAAATCCTCTATGGAACTTTTTTTCCCCAAGAAATGTTTCTGTCAATTTTTCTAAGGCCTGTTCAATGGAGTCTCCAATAGCATTCGATACGTCTTTGTCTACAGCTAATCGGCTGATTCTTAATACTTGTAACTGAATTTCGTCATTACATATGCCAACAACAACCGTGTGTTCATTGTGATCAAACACTGCTGCTGTTTGATAAAGACATAGACTTCCTTCATTGTCTTCATCTTTTGCAACAGTCCATTTTAGAAGACTTATGCAGTATGCTACCAGTCTGTAGAACACAAACATGGCAAAGGAAGTAAATCGATAGCACAAAATGGATGAGCATTCCCATTTATTATGAAACAAGTCAGCTTTAAACTGCTTTTTGTTCATACATGGGACATACCATGACATGCCACCTTCTGATACAGCTTCAAGTACATTCAAAGGTACCAGCATTTGAAGTTTCTCCATGTATGGCATAATTTCATTTTTATGTTTCGAGAAAGAGGGTTCATCTTTCCACAGTGCATTTATCACTTTATCTTTAAGTTCCCCCGTTTTGTTGAAGGATTTCCACTCTTTAATTAATTTCCTTTTACAATCTTTATTGATATGGTTTTCATCAGCAATTACCTTGCTGAAAGCATTAGCAAGCCACTGAATATCTATTATAACATGTTCCCTCAATTCTGCTTCTCCAAAATTCAAAAGAAGACCATTATCATGGAAACATTTTAAAAATTTGGTCATTTCTTCATCATTTTTGATTTGGTATTCATAAGGAAGAGATGAGTTGAGTTTCGAGATTTCACTCAGAGACAAAACTTTCCAGCCTCCTTCATACAATAACTGCTCCATTAAAGCCCATGAAGAAGGCAATTCAATTTTTGTAGTATTCTCATCCATAAATAATTCCACTATGGAGTTTTTCATTGACTCTAGCATTGCTTTAGTGTTATCATTAAGTTCCTTTAGACCCACTGCATATTCCCGATCATTCAGAGACTCACTTAACCAATCTCTGTCTTCGTCTGGAACAGCATTCCAGAACTCCCCAAAGTACCTCTCTATTTCCTGAAGAAGTAAATAAAGCAGGTATAAAATATTAATTCATATTTGTAAACTAAACAACTTAATTATGTGTCGATGTTTGAAAATGTGCAGTAACAGGTATTTCAGTATAAAAAGTGGTGCACAGTTCAAACTGACTTCAACTGCACTGTAGATCTGGTATCCATTGTTGAATTACAATTTATATGAAACTTAGGATGCAATACAAAATACTGTAAACATTTGGCTGTGTATTCTTTTAAGCACATTTGGCGGAAAGCAATCTCGCCTAATTCAAGAACAACGCTATATGCCTCGCACATATAACAAAAGCATTATGATATGCGCCAAATCAAATCAACACTAACTTGTTCAAAATCCAATTTCCGCCATATATCGTACTTCTAAATATAATACATTTACAGTATATAATATGTGATACAATTTACTGTCAATTAAATTTTGGTTCTTTTGTATTTTTGAAGTTAAACTGTAATAGTGCATTCTCAAAATATGTTGGTTTGTTATTTTTTGTAATTCACATTTCTATTAGCCTGGTTACTTACATCTGTAGATTTTGTTTCTGTGTGTGTGGCAACAAGAAACAGTGGTGCCTTTTTGCCTCCAAATGTCTTGATTGAGGTTATCCAAAACTTCAAGTAATCTAAAAGAAAACAAAATTTGGTAATCTAAAAGAACAACTTAGCACCCTAATAAAAACAAACAGGTCTGTGTCTCTGGTAAGTGTGTATCTCTACTGCTTTATATTAAAAACATGGAAAGTAAAAGACCTTCAATCAATACTTTTATTTTTGGTTTTACAATAGTCTAGCAGAATTATATGAATATGACTTCATATTTTGTAAACCCATCAATAATTATTAAATAGAATATAAATTATGAAATGTGCAATATTTAAATTTTTGAAAAATAAATATTTACATATCTTCTTCCTTCCGTTTTAAATGACAAATCTTTTGTTGAAAACAAGAGGCCCAAGGGCCTTGAATTGCTCTTCTAATAAATTGTACAATCTATCACTTCTATTAGAAGCCTACAACTCTATTAGTATCATAAGACCCAAAATGCATCAACTTACAAAGTTAGATAATATTTAGCCATTTTTTAACATAATTATAAAATACCATAAGTAGGTCACAGTGACCTACCTTTTGATTGAAATTTTCTGAGTACTCAAGATACATTAATTGACAAATACTGATGATTCTAATTAAATAAGTACCTGAGATTTTCAAAAGTAGGTCACCATGACCTACTTTTTGGTCAACATTCTCTTAAAACCCAAGATGCATCATCTGATAAAGTTTGACAATTCTAAGCCAATTAGTTCTAGAGATAATTAAATAAAGCCATCATATGTCAAAAGTAGGTCACGGTGACCTACTTTTTGGTCGACGTAATCCAAACACCCAAGAAGCCTAAACTGAGAAAATTTACTTATTCTAAGCCAATAAGTACCTGAGATATTCAAAAGTAGGTCACTGTGACCTTCTTCTTGTTGGACATTCAATGAAACCAAAAGATGCCTCAACTGACAAAGTTTGAGGATTCCGAGCCAATAAACACCAGATAATTAAATATAGCCATAAAATGTCAAAAGTAGGTCACAATGACCTACTTTTTGGTCGACGTTCTCCGAAAACCCAAAGTGCCTAAACTGACAAAGTTTCATGATTCTAAGCTAATACGTACCTGAGATATTCAGAGTAGGTCACTGTGACCTACTTTTTGGTCGACATTCTCCGAAAACGCAAGATGCATCAACTGACAAAGTTTGATGATTTCAGGTCAATAAGTACCAGAGTCTGAGATACTTTATTATAGCCACAAAATGTCAAAAGAAGGTCACCGTGACCTACTTTTTGGTCGTCACTCTCCGAAAACCTAATATGCATGAACTCACAAAGTTTGATGATTCTAAGCCAAGAAGTACCAGAGATACTTAAATAAAGCCATAAAATGTCAAAAGTAGGTCACCATGACCTACTTTTTGATCGTCACTCTCCGAAAACTAAATATGCATTTACTCACAAAGTTTGATGATTCTAAGCCAATAAATACCTAAGATACTTAAATATAGCCACAAAATGTCGAAAGTAGGTCATCGTGACCTACATTTTGGTTGACATTTTTCAAAGACCCAAGATGCATCTACTGACCAAGTTTGTTGCTCGTAGGTCTAATGGTTATCAAAATATGCATTTTAAACAATTTGAAAACAAATGTTGGCAAAATTTAAAAAGTAGGTCACAGTGACCTACTTTTTCATAATTATGTTTTAAGGTCTCAAAGTACAAGATTTGATGATTCTAAACCTCCCAGTGTCTGAAATGATGGGATTTAATGTTTTTAAAAGGATAAGTCATTAAGTTTAAAAAGTAGGTCATGGTGACCTACTTTTAAGTTGACATTGTTCAAGGATCCAAGATGCATCAACTGTCAAAGTTTGATGATCATAGGCCTTAAAGTGTCCAAAATATGCCTTCAAATCAATTTGAAAACAAATCCCTGCAAAATTTAAAAAGTAGGTCACCGTGACCTACTTTTGAGTGAATATGATGTGAAATTGTAAGATGCATCAACTTACAAGATTTGATGATCCTAGTCTTTATAGTAAGAAAAATATACACGTTTTTATTAAATGTAAATTTAGGTCAACTTTGAAGTGACCTTGAGACCACGCCCTTTGCCCTAGGGTCATGCCTTGAACAATTTTTAATCTTCAACATATCCTGATCCTTGTATGTAAATTTGGTGAAAATCTGCCTGGTGGTTCTGGAGAAGATGATTTTTTAGCAACCAGTACTTTTGGTTTTGTATTCCTGATTCTCTCCCCTTGTTTTAGGGTCCCAACCCTTATTTTAGTATAAATGGTAGCCCTTGGGCCAATGATACCCTGTGACAAATTTGGTACTGATTGGCCAAGGGGTTCTTGAGTTATGGCGCATATTCTAAAAAGTTAAGGCACACCGCACAAATGGCCATAGCATTAGCTCTTTGAGCCTTTGGCTCAGAAGAGCTTAAAAATGTATCAAAGTGCAGTGTACTTCTAAAGGCAAATACACTGTAGCAAATGAAGACAAGTTAAGTCCATTTCAATGGTTAAACCCTCTGAAAACAGATTCATAATTCCTAGCTAGGTTAAGGCAGCTCATAGGAAATGTGCCTTAAAATATTCCAAGAAAATCAATAAAATGTTGATATCTTTTCTGTTAGCATGAGTTTCCATTTAATGGGAATTGTACTAAAAACATATGCATATATGGGGTCTCAACCGAGTTCGGCAAAAGTGATTTTTCACTATGAAATTGATTGCGTTTCCTTTAAGACAAATTCCTTAACCTGAAAAATGCTGGGAGCAACTTCCCCATGCCCGGGAATTATTTCAAATTTAGCTGTCTTTTGAAAAACTTCGTAAATTTACATTATACGCATTAAAATAATGTAAAATTACGAAAAAAACCAACAGTGCACAACTTACTCCAAGCACTTTTGAAAATGGTAGGGTTAATAATAAATTATGATATTTTATACACATGTAGCTACATGTGTATAAAATATCATAATTTATAGTTTAGCGGATATGGTTGAACTCTTGAGATTTTCGAGGGGTTGTGCCTGTGATTGTAGTATGTTTAAGTGCATGACTGCGGCTTTATAAGAGACCTATTCATTATAAATTCAATTACTTTGAAAAATTGAGTAATGTATTCAAAATATGACTCAATTTTAGTCAGATCACGCTTAATTTGTTTTTTCATTTTTACAAATTGCAATAATAGCCGGATCTGCGTCTCAAGTACACAGAAACTGCATGTCAAACTAGTCTATGATGTCATCACTGTCAGTATAGCGAGATCAAGTTGGCTTCGATTTTACATTTAAAAAGAGTTATAATGACAAGATAAGTTACACAGCAATTTATGTTTTCAATAATTATGAGAAATCACAGTATACAAGAGTGTAAGAAAAAGAATATTATTTGTACGGTTTCACCATGATGTCATAATCGTTTGCCGGAAGATCTGCATAGACTGATATACCTTTGCATTTGGGAGTCCTTAACCTATCCGCGTTCCTGGCTACTGACGGACAGTTTATGGGTCACATCCAAAGAAATGAACCTATACCCACCACAACTGACATGTGATGATACCCGTCACGAATGATTACCCAATGGGATCATCATCTCATACAAAATAACCCCATTTGATTGTTGAACGGTCCCATTTAGCATTAACTGATTAATTTTAATATAAGAAAGAAAAATTTCATTGGTTGTTATTTTTTAAATAAAACATAACAGTACATGAAACTTGCCACCATTTATGATTTCGCTTAGGAGTACGTTCTGAGATTCAAATTATGAAAATAATGGCCCAGGTTATGAGACCACAGAAAGAGGTCAAAGGTTTACATAGATATAAAAATCAATTTTGAACTTAAGGTAATGTTAGCAAGCTCACAAAAAATTATCCCCATACAATCTTTTTAAAAGTTTCTATTTAAATTTTGTATAATTGACCTTGAAATAAAAGAAACCTTTGCTAAAATGGACACAGTCTGGTACTCTGTAGGTAAAATACAGAAATGAAAAATTTATCCTTTAGAAAATCATAGACCTCTTGTGAATCTTAAAATTTTTTTTTACCAGTGATCTTGAATTTGTTTTATTAACCTTGGGTCAAGCAAATGAACATCCATGGATAGTTAATAGTCTGTGTATCAAAAATGATCTTCCAATGAAATTTCATTACAAAGTTTTAACCTGGACAAGCTTAATATACCGTTTTTTGCTGGTGACCTTAAACTCGCTGAAAAAGACCAAGTTCAAGGTCAGAACACACCCGCAGATCATGACAAGCAAATTAAAGTTTGTATCAAGTATGAGCTCCCAGTTATTCTCCATTACAAAGATATGGCCTGGACAAGGATTTAAACATTTTCTGCTAGTGACCTTGAACTTGTGAGAATCATCTAGGGTCATGGTCAGTTTTTCTGATAAAAAATTGTCCGTTGTTTGTCATTGTTGTTGTTGTAATAGTTTTCACAATTTCATCTTCTACTCAAGAACCACTAGACCAATTTCAATGAAACATGCTACTAAACAAAATGATAAATAAATGTGTATTGTCGATGAACAAAACTACAAATGGATGCGTAAACTTAATACCGGTAACTACCTTAAAAAATCTGACATTTTATAAGTGTCTTACCTCTGTAAGTCCAAACGGAAAAGATTGATCCTTCTTGGTTATCTTTCTCTTTATCTACAACATCTTCAAACCTCTTAGTCATGTCCAGCACAAGAATAAAGAAGGCCTTTGGTGTTACGTAAATTTGGTGACGAGCATAATAAGCTAACTGCCCAGCAAAATCCAGCAAGCTTACAGTTGGGAATTTTTCTTTTTCAGACAAGATTTTTTGGAAAATTTCATCCTTCAACATTTCTTGTGCTTCTGAGGAGAGAACACTGGCCATTGTCTCAACTGTATTTTGTTCTTCTTTGCCTTCAGTTGGAGAAATGGACCTCTCAACGTTTTCTTCTTTCTTTTCTTCTCGGCTATAAACTACTTCAGAGTTTTTACCAGTACTTCCTTGCTCCAAATTGTCTTCTTGTTCATTTGTGTCGGAGATGTCAGTTGCACTGCCCGGGTCTGGTTTCAAATCTGCAGCGTTTATCCTGATAAATGACTTCAATGGTGAGTCATCATCAGCCACTGTAAAAGAAGAAATTGATAAATAGTAAAAATTCCTTTGCATTATACTGTTTTTTTTCCCGAAATCTTACAGGGATGGAAACGAATGCACAATATAAAATTGACACTTGTCTTTTTGTGTAAGGTATTCAATTTTTACAAATACGTTTTGTCATTGCCCGGTGCTGCAATTCAGAACACGCAGACTTTGGTATACAACGTGGCTTTTTGCCACTTGTTACTTATGACAATAAGACACACTTGCTCTCTGCTCACTTTAATACAGTATAAAACAAGTGTATCTAATCTTTTGTCATTCATAAATCTTTTACTAGCGACTCTAACACCCCATTGCAAAAAATGATACATATTATTCATACAAGCACATTTTTTTTTAATCATAGAAATAATCATTAGGTCAATCTTTTACAATGCTTTCCAGGGACAAATCTGACTTTGAGCATGTTTTGCTCATTTAATCCAAACTTTTATTTTCACTTTGTTTCTTAATATATATAAAGATAGTTGCATTTAACATTGTTTAGTTTGTTTGCTTACAACTCAGGGACAGAGGAGGAATTTTCAAAGGTTTTATGCAATTTTGCTAATTAATCAATTAATTGCAAGTTCAGGAGTCTCATTATAACTATATGTATGTATTGAGTTTGTTTAAATAATACATATACCAAGGAGAATTGGAAAAAAATATTTCAATAGCACTTAATTTTTATTCAGAAAATAATAAATAAGCCCCCCCCCCCCCATTCCCCGCACAAACACACATGGAACCCTTGACCCAGAGACCATGAATTTCACAATATGGGAAGAGAAACTTTTCTCTATCATAAATATGTATTTGCTGCATCTGCATAATACCCAGAAGCAGAGTAGACCATTTAAAAATCTTTTTTTTCAGTAAATAATAAACAAGAGATGTTTGTAAAACACTTATTCTCCCCCGCCCCCAAATAATTGGAATTTTTCTAAGTCCAAGGTGCATAACTCTATCCAAAATTGCTCAATTGTATCCCAAACAGAACCTGACCTAGAAATTCTTATGATAAATTTGTATATAAAATTTTATTTCAATGTGTGTAACAACTGCGAAAAAAAAAGTAAACAGATGATGGATCGACAGGCAGACTAATCAACAGACAGCAGCAAAGCAATATACCCTCCATTTTTCAAAGAGGAGGCACCCTCCATGGAACCCCTAACCAAGGGGCCCATGAAATTCATAATTTTGGAAAAATAAACATTTCCTTCTTATTACTATGAACTTAGTTAATCAGCTTAATACCCAGGAGCAGAAGAGAAATTTTTCAAAGAATTCATGCATTTTCACTACATTTATATAATCATTAGAGCCCCACCCTAACACCAAAACACCTTACCAAGGGGCAATGAAATTCACAGATTTGGGAGAAGCACTTTTCGTCATCATAACTATATATTTAATTCATTACGTTAATAGCCAGAAGCAGAAAAGATTTACAAAGAATGCATTTCACAAGAATATCAATTAAGCCCCACACTAACACCAGAACTCCTGACCATGGAGCCATGAAATTTTCAAAGAAATAATGCAGGGTTCTCCATCATTTAAAATTAAACTGTGGGGCAAGAATTGCACAAAGTACTTGTATTCGAAGGAATTTCGAATTAAATTGATAAACACATATTGATTTAATTGATGAATATGGCTTTGCTATTCTTGAGAAGAATATTTTTAAAGAGTTTCCCCATATATTTCTATGTAAAACTTTGGTCAGCCATTTTTGCCCTGCCCTACCCCGGGGTGTCATGATTTGAACAAACTTGAATCTACACTACCTGAGGATGCTTCCATATAAATATAATCAATTATGGCTTTGGTATTCTTGAGAAGAATATTTTTGCAGAATTATCCTGTATACGAGGGTTGATTCAAAAGTAATGTCACTGTGTTCATATCTTTTATATTTGGCATCGTAGTATCAAATATTATGTACCAAAAAATGCATAAAAATAAATCTAATCAAAATTACAAAATTTCATTCAATAATGTTTCAAAAAATATATTTTATAGACGTTTAAAACATTAAACAAATGGGGTGTCGCCGCGTCACAACTAAATGTCACGTTTTAAAGTGTATAATGTTAGAATGGAAAAAAAGCAAACACATAAAAAAACATCTGAAATGGGGAATAATCGCCCAATATTTTAAAAGACAATACTTACGATATTTTCTAGTCGTTAATCAAAAATTTAATGACATCAATGCTATTTTGGGTCCATGACATTGTTTTTTAATCTGATGTATTGAAAAAGTAAAATTCGAAATGGAATAAAACGCTGAAATGAGCTATAATGTTTTTCTTTTAATATCGGGAAATCGCCAGTAGGGACAATTACAATGAAAAATCAGACTCACAGAGGAAAGAATTTAATAAGTGACTTGTTGTAAATGGTTTCAGTGATTTTGGGCAGGTCATGGGTCATGGATTGATCTGCAGAGGACAGGAAGAACGAAAGATAGAAGGTCAGTTGGAAACGTTCAATGGTGTCTGACTTTGTCAAAAACAGAACGATATGAGAAACTTTAAGTTTGTCTTATCTTAATGCTCAAAGACTTTTTTTTATAGAGAACTAAATTTTAAAATAGAATGAGTTTACAATTGGTGCCAATAACTCTTAAAGAAAGTGAAATGTGAAAATGTGTTTGTGAATCTCAAATATTTTTAATGGAACAAAAGGGAAGCGTTAAATTGAACATGTATGACGTCACGTATCCGTCATACGACGTTATTTAGGTGCGGCGACTTCCCTAATCGCATATGGTTTATAATTCAATATTTTAAAAGCTATAAAGCATTTTTATCCGTCAGGTAACTTCCCTAATGGCACATGGTGTAAAATTTAATATTTTGAAAGGTATAAAGCATTTTTATTTGAATTTTTCAGAACTGATTTGAAATAAATATAGCTTCCAACATATATAAGTGTGTTATATTATGTCAACTAGAAGCAATTTTATCGAAGTTGTGACATTACTTTTGGATCAATCCTCGTATTTCTATGTAAAACTTTGGTTGACAATTTTGGCCCCACCCTACCCCCGGGGGTCATGATTCGAACAAAATCGAATCTAAACTACCTGAGGATGCTCTCATATATGTATGATTAATTATGGCTAATATGTCATTTTTGAGAAGAAGATTTTTAAAGAATATTCCTACATATTTCTATGTAAAACACTACCTGAGAATGCTTCCATGTATTAAATATGATCAATTATGGCTATATATTTCTATTTAAAACTTTGGTTGGCCATTTTGGCCCTGCCCTACCCCTGGGGGTCATAATTGGAACAAAATTAAATCTACACTGCCTTCGGCTGAGGTAAGCTAAAAAGCTGTTACTTGAATGTAGTGATTCTACAGTTTCTTTTTCTTCTTCCCTTACAGAAATTTCTGATAAGTTAAAGTGACTTATAAGTGATTTACTCTTTTACTTATAAGTTGTTTATTCTGGACCTACACTTCACTGATACATTTAACTTATAAGTGACTAATATGTTACTCATTAGGATTTTATATGCAAATGAGCTGCTTGACCTATAAGTGACTTATAAGCCAGTATTAGCTACTTATGCTTTATGCAAGTATAGTCACTTATAAGCGAATATAAGTAACTTATAAGTCAAGCATTAACCCTTTAATACTTTATCAAGTATTAGTCAACTATAATTCACTTATAAGTGAAGTACAACACTACCTGTAAGATCTAGCTAAGAACAGAACTTCCAAAAATAAAATAATCAAGTAAAAATTTTATAGAAAAAATCACTTTCATATGACATTTCTTTGATGATGCAAACTTAACATATTAATTCAGTTTACAAACAAAAATGTTGAACAAAAAGCAACAAGATTTAATGACCTTGAGGCTTCTTCAAATTTATGAAATCTGAAAGCAACTGAGTCAATTGATTCAAAATTTCAGGCAAAGGAAGTTAAAGTGGAGAGATGATGTAAATAGAACCTACTTGTTGTACCTGATGTGAAGGCATACTCAAAATAAATCTAAAATCTCCAACATCCTTTCACAGACACAAACTTGGTTTCAAATTCTTGTTACTGATCTCTACAGAGACAAACTTTCTGATTGGCTACCTTGAATACCCATAATGCTCCTAAGCATTAACATAAACAACCTTCTCGGGTGCTCCTTATACATAGGAGGGAAATCCACAACTGAACTGAACTGAACTGAATGCTCCTTGAGAGAAGTCTAGTATAGGGTAAAAATTCTAAGTTCACACTTATACTTCACTCATACCATACTGATCTTTACTTATAAGTGAGGTATAGGTGAAATATTCACTGATATGTAGCTCATCTTTACTTATAAGTGAAGTATTAACGAAATCCGTTCCTCACTTATACTTACTTTGACTTATAGTACACTTATAAGTAAATTTCAAAATTTATAAGTGACTCATAAGTTGCTAATAAGTGGATTACAAGAGGCCCAAGGGCCTTGAATCACTCTTCTGATAAATTGTACAATCTATCACTTCTATTTGAAGCCTCTTACTCTAAGTATCCTAAGATGCATGAACTGACAAAGTTTAATGATTCTTTGCCAGTTAGGACTGAAGATATTTCAGTATAGCTATAAAATACCATAAGTAGAACATGGTGACCTACTTTTTGATTTGAAACTTTCTGAGGACTCAAGATGCATTAATTGACAAAGATTGATGGTTCTAAGCCAATAAGTACCTTAAATAATAAAGTAGGTCACTGTGATCTTCTTATGGTTGACATTCTCCGAGGACCAAAGATGCATCAACTATCAGAGTTTGATGATTCTACGCCAATAAGTACCAGAGATACTTAAATAAAGCAATAAAATGTCAAAAATAGGTCGCCATGACTTACTTTTTGGTCAATATTTTCCGAAAACCCAAGATGCATCAACTGACAATGTTTCATGATTCTAAGCCAATAAGTACCTGAGATAATCAAAAGTAGGTCATTGTGACTTACTTTTTGGTCGACATTCCCGAAAACCCAAGATGCCTCAACTGACAAGGTTTGACAATTCTAGGCCAATAAGTACCCAAGATAAGTAAATATAGCCATAAAATTCAAAACAAGGTCACAGTGACCTACTTTTTTGTTGACATGTTCCGAAAACCCAAGTTGCATCAACTGACAAAGTTTGATGATTCTAAGCCAAAAAGTACCTAAGATACTGAATTATAACCATAAAATGTCAAAACTAGGTCACAGTGACCTACTTTTTTGTCGACATTCTTCTAAAATCCAAGTCGGATCAACTGACAAAGTTTTATGATTATAAGCCAAAAAGTACCTGAGAATACTTAAATATAGCCATAACATGTCAAAAGTAGGTCACCATGACCTATTTTTTGATTGACAAACTCCGGAAACCCAAGATGCCTTAAGTGACAACGTTTGGCAATTCTAGGCCAATAAGTACCCAGGATTAGTAAATATAGTCATAAAATTCAAAACTAGGTCACAGTGACCTACTTTTTGGTTGATATGTTCCTAAAACCCAAGTTGCATCAACTGACAAAGTTTGATGATTCTAAGCCAAAAAGTACCTAAGATACTGAAATATAGCCATAAAATGTCAAAACTAGGTCACAGTGACCTATTTTTTGGTCGACATTCTCCTAAAACCCAAGTTGTATCAACTGACAAAGTTTGATGATTATAAGCCAAAAAGTACCTGAGAATACTTAATAGAGCCATAAAATGTCAAAAGTAGGTCACCATGACCTACTTTTTGATTGACATTCTCCGAAAACCCAAGATGCCTTAACTGACAACATTTGACAATTCTAGGCCAATAAGTACCCAGGATAAGTAAATATAGCCATAAAATTCAAAACTAGGTCACAGTGACCTACTTTTTGGTTGATATGTTCCGAAAACCCAAGTTGCATCAACTGACAAAGTTTGATGATTCTAAGCCAAAAAATACCTAAGATACTGAAATATAGCCATAAAATGTCAAAAGTAGGTCACCGTGACCTACTTTTTGGTCAACATTTTCCGACATCCAAGATGCATCAACTGACAAAGTTTGATGATCATACATCTGAAAGTATTCAAAATATGAAACAATTTGAAAACAAATGCCTGCAAAATTCAAAAAGTAGGTCACAGTGACCTACTTTTTCATAAATATGTTTTAAGGCCCCAAGATGCATCAGCTTACAAGATTTGGTGAAGCTAAACCTCTCAGTATCTGAAATAATGGGATTTAATGTTTTAAAAAAGATAAGTCATAAAATTCAAAAAGTAGGTCACGGTGACCTACTTTTAAGTTGACCTTGTTTAAGGAGCCAAGATGCATTAACTGACAAAGTTTGATGATCATAGGCCTTAAAGTGTCCAAAATATGCCTCCAAATCAATTGAAAACAAAAGCCCGTAAAATTTAAGAAGTAGGTCACCGTGACCTATTTTTGTGTTAACATGATGTGAAGTCCTAAGATGCATCAACTTACAAGATTTGATGATCCTAGTGTTTACAGTAAGCAAAATATCAACGTTTTTATTAAGTGTAAATTTTGGTTAACTTTGAAGTGACCTTGAGACCACGCCCTTTGCCCAAGGGTCATGCCTTGAACAACTTTTAATCTTCAACATATCCTGAACCTTGTTTGCAAGTTTGGTGAAAATCTGCCTGGTGGTTCTGGAGAAGATTTTTTAGCAACCAGTACTTTTGGTTCTATTTTCCTGATTATCTCCCCTTGTTTTCGGGTCCCAACCCTTGTTTTAGTATAAATGGTAGCCCTTGGGCCAAGGATACCCTGTAACAAATTTGACAATGATTGGCCAAGGGGTTCTTGAGTTATGGCCCATATCTTAAAAAGTTAACGCACACAGCACACCGCACAAATGGCCATAGCATTAGCTCTTTGAGCCTTTGGCTCAGAAGAGCTAATAAAACACATATAAGTTTCCATTAGTTTTTTTCTGTAAGGGTTATTTTTATGCGCCCTGATCGATGGATCCCGGGCGTATATTTTTTTGTCCTGTCTGTTTGTCTTTCTGTCTGTTGTCAACTTTAACCTTCGCCCTACCTTTTGAACAATAAGAGATAGAGACTTCATATTTGGTATGCATACTCCACTAATAGAGTCCTTTCAAATGACATCAAGGTCAATGAATTTGTGACCTTGACTGTGACCTATATGCTAAAAATAGCTTTTTACACTGTTTGTCATAACTTTTGAGCCATAGGAGATAGGGACTTCATATTTGGTATGCATACTCCATCGATAAAGTCCTTTCAAAAAACGACAAGGTCAATGATCTTGTGACCTTGACTGTGACCTATATGCTAAAAATAGCTTTTTACACTTTTTCCCATAACTTTTGAACCATAGGAGATAGGGACTTCAAATAAAAAACGTTCCAATTTCGTCAAGGAAAGTAAAACCATGCATTCACAAAAAGGAATTGTGGGGTTGATCCAAAGGAAAAATGAGGCAAGGTCTGATAATTTATTATTTTCTGAGATTAATTTCACGCTTTAATGAACGATCAACATATATACTTTTCATTGTAAAACATTCTACAGATTCCTTGTTCAGTGATGAGGTATAATTGTTCTTCTGTGCAGTTTCAAACTTTCCACTTATAAACATTTATTGATTATTCAAGTATCATGCAATCATTTAGAATCGATCAAGTATGTAAATATTTAGTCACTGAACCTATTCATATTCAAACAAAATCCACTGAATGTATTTTGTGTATCGCTTGTCATTTTACACCCTCAGCATTTCAATTTTTAATAATATTTTGATAAAGTCGGTGAAGTCGCTCGATATGATCTGAAACGGATTTAAATAGCGTCTACAATTTAAAGGGATCAATGAACATACCACACTTGGTCACTTTAAATTGAAAAAATGATTTTAGGCATTGTAACTTGATATATTTCAATTCAAGATTTTAAAAAACATTTATTAGCATATTTGCGAAAATTTTGTTGAAATTAAATGAACGGTTGTGAAAACTTGCTTCCAACAAAATAAGATGAATATAATTTCGGTAGTAGGGGAGACCTGGGAAACTGTTGCCCTCGGCCTTCGCCTCGGGCAACAGTTTACCAGGTCTCTCCCACTACCTCGGGACAACATTTTGACTGTTTACCTCGTAGTCATTAAATAAGTGTATATTGTTGATTGATTGTTTGTATATTAAAAGGTTTCGTTAAAGAATTTCCGCTTAAATAGACACGTCACCATTTACCGGCTATGTGCTTCAAATTAAGACCTTTGATAGGCACTCAGGTTTGTTAAGCAGTGAATGTTCCTTTTTGTGCCTACTCCTCCCGACTCTGTTTGGAAGGTCTCATTCAAAGGACCAAAACTTTCCCACCAAGGTGTCCAGCGCTTGGGGAAGGAGCAGTTTCTACCTATCCAATTATAGACTGAAGACTTCCATATACAAGGAGATACATTACAATAAAAGGTAATGATGATTGATGGTAAATTTATTATTGAAAAAGAAAATGCAGTACATTAAAATATAAACACAATACTTCGTACCAAAGGTATAAATATATATGTTAATTATGTGCAAAAAGATATATACATGTACATGAATTCGTATATCTGGTACGCAAAGATATATACATAAATTCAGTACACAAAGCTATAAATATGAAAAGCATTCAATAACAGATATATAGGAACGTATATTAAAATAGATATGTTTTTACATTTATTCTAAGTCAAATACTAAACCACGTTTTGGGGGAAATGTATTTTGGGCTATTTCTGATAGATTAATTAAACATTCTTTAAAAAAAAATAAAACAGCGAATAATAGATGCGGAAATTCAGAAACATTTTTACAGAGTACAGAAGAGTCACGGCCTGATTTTGAATTTTTTAAACTGACAATGTTTAAGACAAGTTTATGTTGGCATTCAAACTCACAATATGTTTTTAGTATATTCTGCAAGTCGTCTCACCGAAAAAACAATTAAAAAAATTCGAATGTAAAAAGACAATTAGATCCCTGTATACTAGCATCATATGACTAATATGACAGTGCAGACTTTTGATCATTATTTTTTACAGGATCAGTGATACTCTATTTTGCCTTATCATTAATATTGTATAAAAAGGAAACAATAAAATGAAGGGAAACTCTGTCTATATATTATATAGTAAAGAATTAATATTGATAAAAAGCGACATAGTAAGTTAGCATAATATGTGTTTCCAAGTGGTAAGTTTCTGTTGAAATATAAATAAAAAGTTGCCGATATTCATACATTCATAGCTTTACATTGATCTTTTCAATCTTTTAATGAATCGATGTTCATGTATGCATATTGCTCTAGCATATTTTGCAAACAGTAAAATATAATTTCTACAAATACTGATGGCGTTTATTCATATGTTTGCAATATATTCAGTTTTTGATCAATAAATAATTTGGATCATCTAAACCTTTCAAGAAGTTCAAATAAGTTCATATACAAAGAAACGGTATTTTGTGGATATTTTCATCACAAATAAACAAAACTTTAAGAATGGGAAGAAGTTAAAAAAACATCCTTGTAGATAGATATGCAGACAAGTACACTCATTTTTTTCCTTTGTTGAGAAGGGCTATAAACACTCAAGTCCTTGCACTTAGATAAAACAATCACCTTTATATAAACGTCCTTTTGACTTAACTAAAAATAATTCCTACATGGCCGATACATTTACATTTTTTACACAAGGTACATGCAAAAAATTTATAACACTACATGTTTATGATATTAGTGCAGTAAATAATCCAGCATTCCAGAATTGAGAATCTATAAATTCATGATTACTGAGGTTTCTGATGTTTCTGGTTCACTAAACTTGGATATCAGGAACTCAAACTGTAGATTTATTTTATATGTAATCAACAAGTGTACATGTAGCCCACTTCCACTTTTTTTGGCAATGCCTCAATTTATCTTTCAGGAAGCAAAAAAAAAAAAAAAAAAAAAAAAAAACAAAGATTCGTTTTTTACCATCTGGTTAATTTTGGGAGGGACATTAACACTTATAAATACCTAAAACCCCTTTTACTATTTTTTCTTCTATCTATTGCACATGTAACTGATTGAAAAACTTGAAATTAAAATACAGGGAATGGCTTTCATTAAAACTTGGCTACTTATTTTTGGGTTTTCTAAGAAGAAACTTTAATCAGAATGTAAAATTTCCAAGTATATAATAATTATTATGTAATTTTTATAAATAATAGTCAACATATCAAAATGTTTGGGTTTTTGATTAGATTATTTTTTTCAAGATTTTTTTTCTATATATTCTGTTTGAATCCCGTACGTACATACTTGATGTTAATTCTGCAAAAAAAATTAATTTATACTAAATTGTTTATTTTGCATTTTGATATAATATAAAAATATACTTCTGAAGCATCATGCATCGTTCTATATATATCAAGAAAAAATAGAATACAACGTTGATAATAAGAAATATGTGTTTTATGATAAATAAAAATATATTTCAAAAAATCCCATTTAAACTATTGTTTCTTGTTCTCCCATTTTTTTTAAAATATAAAAGGCAGTTGCCATACATCTTTCTCTTGCTTTACAAACAAGTTGTAAAATACATTGAAATCCATCCCACATTGTAACCATGCGCACCCTAGCATCTTTACTGTTGGTTTAAAGTGACCACTTTTTCTCCAGTCTCGCAAAAGCACACGAATTCCCTCGAGAAAATTATATTTTTTTTCATCCATGACTCGTTCTATGTGGCTAACTGTGTGGCCTAACTGAAGGCACAGATGTAAATATTCTCGTCCAACGTATCCTGCTATTTCATCCAACTCCTGGTCGGATAAGACTTTATCCAGTATGTCAGATGGAAGGTTTTTCATGACTAATGAAAGAAAACAAATTAGTTTGTGCTGAATAAAAAAATAAATATGCACATTTCTAGGATTACACAGCTGATTAAGGATTTAAACCCGCTTTGTTTCGTCACGTTACAATGTAAAGTTCAGCCTTCAATGAATATTATATTCCAAATGTATCAATGCATTGGGAGAGATCCGCGCTTGTCCCGACATAATTTGCTTTCGATAGTTCAGTATGCACAACACATGGTCAACACCATTTTTTGACGTGATTGAACTTTCACACCTTTACTGCAAATCGACAATAACTGTGTATTCTTTTTCTCTCTGAATCTATTTTGACATTTAAAGACAAGTACTCTATATTCATATTATTTCTCTGTAGCCAGTGTCAACATAATTTAGGTCTATACCAGTTTTTCAAGGGCAAAACTTGGAATGTTGGAAGCTAAAACCCTTCCCTCCTTTTGACGTCACTAGAATGATAAAATTTCATAGAACTTCCAGAATTAAATGAAAATTTCATATTTTATGGAATAATTGCGTCCGGACAAATACCTAAATTAACGGGATTTTTGGACGTCAAATGATCATATCAAAAGAGTTTTTCTCAGTTACACATAGACTGCAAAAACGTCGTGTTGGAGGTTGCGCCGCCTGGACATATCATTGCTTACATAAACATTACTAATTTATTAAAAGATAAAATTAATGATTTATGGTTTATTCTTTAGATAGAAAAGGTGATGCAAACTAGATATTTTAAAATTCATTGATGTGCATAAAACGGTTTAAAATTTATGACGCTAGTCCACGAACTTTTTGAGAACCCCTCGTACTTGTCATTAATGTATGTAACAAACTAAATTTAATCCCGTAGGATACCCCTAGTGCGTGAGTGTAAATATTGTTATTTATCCTGTGGGGAGCCCCTCGATGTGTAATTTTATCTACCTGAGAGCTCGTGTTCGGGTAGTACCCGGGAAGTCACAGCCGAGATAAGACCTGTTTGGCTTGTTGTTATGATGAAGTAGCCTGGGCGGGTACTCAAACTACATCAGGTATTTGAAAATACAATTTGTAAAATATGTTTTCTTGTGTGAGTCTGCACGTTTAGTATGGTTGTTTTATTATATTTTTCCCCAGGGTCCTATTTCCTTTGGCTTTTGTCCCGTTTCGTAATTATCAGGTCTTGGGCGGGGTACTACAGCTAATTACATTGACAATAGCCAGTCGGCAGTCCAGGGTGACAGGGAGAGGCTTGCAATGTGTAATGGTTTTGCAGTAACAGCGGCAACTGTGTGAGAGAGTACGAAAGAGTACGGCAGCCCTGACGTACACATCCGGACCAGTAATTTAAAGTTATGTGTTATAATGAAATCTCCTGTTTGAAATAATATCAATTCAAACCAAAGTTAATCTAGACGGCATTGTGAAAGTTTATTATGTGATATATGTGATACTTGTGAAAGTTATAATATTCAATTTAATTTGTGAAAGAAAACACGTTTATCAGAGGAAATTCAAAAACCGGAACTCAAATCTCCAGCAAGGGTGTGGTGATTAATTGACTACGTTTTAAAGAACATTCTTCCAGGACTGACGTGCTGCTGATAGACAATTCATTTCTATATTTTTTAATTTGTTTCTTTTGTTGTACAATTTACTTTTGTTTTGTTTATTAAATTTTGTAAAAATTTCATTTTGTTTTGTTTCCTTCATTTATTCAAGTTCTTAAAGTGTATAACCCACATCTCAACAATTTGGTGGCAGCGGTGGGATACATCTGAGCTTGGGTAAATAGAGAAAATATTTTTTTTTTTTGCAAGTTTGTTTCTATTATTTATTTTGCTTTTGTGTTTCAGGTTCACAAACTTTCACAATGTCTGGTATGCCAGAATGGATGGCTGACTTAATTGAAAAGGGTACAAACGTAAAAGAATGTCTCGAGATGTGGCGTCAGGAGCAGGAATCAAAGAGAGAGCTAGAAAGGGAGAGATGGGCGCAAGAGAGAGAAGAGCGTCAGGCCCAGAGAGAAAGTGCAAAGTTAGAGGTAGAAAGAGATGCGAAATTACGAGCGTTAGCTATTAGAGAAAAAGAACTAGAACATGCTAAAATTGGGGGGTCCCAACCTCATGAGATTAAATGCCCACCTGTTAAGTTACCTAAGTTTGAGGAGGGACAGGACCCTGATGTCTTTTTACGGTCGTTTGAAAAGATAGCTGGGTTGCAGAAATGGCATAAATCCCAGTGGGCTATACGCTTAGTTCCTATGTTAGCAGGTAAGGCTTTGGAAGCGTATTCAAGGTTGTCGGATGCAGATAGTGATAACTATGAGATTATCAAAACAGCTATTCTCAAGAGATATGAGCTTACTTCTGAAGATTACAGGGAAAAATTTCGTCAGGGTAAGCAGTCAAATGATGAGTCATTTAAAGATTTTGTTGTTAGGGTAGAAAGGTACCTCAATCACTGGTGTGAACGTGAGAAAATAGATTCAGATTTTGGCAAGTTGTATGATATGGTCTTGAGAGAACAGGTTGTTAGAAGTTGTCCAAAAGACTTACAGTTGTGGATTCTGGAGCATGACCCAAAGTCTATTGAGGAGGTTGTTGCGTTGTCTAATGCATTTCAGGCGGCACATAAGAGTAAGTATCTTAGTGGCAATAGTGTCCAATTTCACAGTACAGGGAATAGGTCGACGGGAAAGCCAAACAAGTTTGGTTCGACAAATTCTCAAGATGGTAAGTCAAATCTCAAGTCTCACTTTAATGCAGGGGATAGCAGAAAGTGTTTCATTTGTGATAGAGTAGGACATATTGCGGCAAACTGTTTTCTTAAGAGAACTCAGTCAAAAGGTCTAGACAGTAAAGGTCTGAGAGGCACAAAGCCTGAGATAAGGTCAGAAAATGTTAGGTTGTGTTTAGATAAGTCTGAGTCTAAAGTTGTAGACTAAATACGAGATACAACCAAAGGTAGGGTGATTCTTAAGTTGTCCGGAGTTGATAACGAGTCGCCAGTAATTAAAACGTCGGCAGCATTGGGTTTGGTTTTAGTAAAGGGCCAGGTGAGTGATCAACCAGTTGCAGTCTTAAGAGATACCGGATGCTCTACTGTATTTGTACGTAGTAAGTTTATTTCAGACTCTGATAAAACAGGACGTTCAAGAGTGATAACTCTTTCTGATGGATCTCAAAGAAACTGTGATGAGGCAATGGTAGATTTGAAGACTCCTTATGTATCAGGTAAGGTACATGCCCTTGTCCTTGATTCTCCATTTGCTGATGTAATTATTGGTAATAATGTTAGCATACTCAAACCAATGGAGGACGAAAAAGAAGTCAAGAGGGATGGAGATGACGAGAACACTTGTGCTGCAGTTCAGACACGTTTGCAGGCCAAATTGGAGCAAGGTAATAGTAGTTCTCAGAGAAAAGCAACAGAAGAGGATTCAGAGGATGAATCTTTGAAACAATTGTGGTGCAGCAGAGATAAGTTGGTAGAACTTCAGGAATCAGATGACAGTTTGAAATCTGCACTGAGTATGGCACAAGACGATACTCAAGAAGGTAAGTCTTACTTTCAGAAACAGGATGGTTTACTGTATAGAATATTTCAGAAAGATTATGGTGAGAAACTTTCCCAGATCGTCACACCAAAGACAATGAGGTCAAAGGTAATGTCTCTGGCTCATGACACTCCACTAGCAGGACATTTAGGTAACAAGAAAACCAGGCAGCGTATTATGCAACATTTCTTTTGGCCTGGAATGTATATTGACATATCTCGATTCTGCAAATCTTGTTCTATTTGTCAAAAGGGAACACCAAAAGGTCGAACTCCAAAAGCTCCACTCATTCCTATTCCACCCATTGAGGAACCATTCTCAAGAATAGCCATCGATTTTGTTGGACCTCTTCCACTGACGGAGAAGAAAAATCGTTACATCTTGGTTTGTATGGACTACTCAACACGGTATCCGGAAGCATTTCCTTTGAAAAACCAAGAAGCAGAGACAGTGGACAACACTTTGATAGAGCTGTTTTCTAGGGTAGGTGTGCCTAATGAAATTCTGTCGGACCAGGGTACCAATTTTATGTCCACACTGATGACTGAATTGTGTAAGTTACTTCAGGTAAGAAAATTAACAACTACCCCTTACCATCCACAAGCAAATGGGTTAGTGGAAAAATTTAATGGGACTTTGAAGAAAATGCTGAAGGCATATGCTTCTTCTGAACCTCACAGATGGGATGTTCATTTGCCTTACGTCCTTTTTGCATACAGAGAGGTGCCAAATGAGACAACTGGGTATTCTCCCTTTGAATTGCTCTATGGTAGACATGTTAGGGGGCCCTTAGCAATCTTGAAGGAGCAGTGGGAGGAACCTACAGTCGAACAGGCCTCAGTGTTGTCCTATATTCTGGAGACGAGGGAGAGAATGCAGAACATTAGAGATTTGGTTAAAGATTCAGAGAGACTCGCAAAAAAGAAACAAAAGATGTACTATGACAAAAAGGCGAGAACTCGTACATTTGAGGTAGGTCAGAAAGTTCTTGTACTTCTTCCAACTAGCACATCTAAGCTGATGGCGCAATGGAAAGGTCCGTATGAAGTAGTGAAAAAGGTAAGTCCAGTGGATTACAAGGTAAGAATATCCAAGAATAAAGAACCGGTTTACAATGTCAACATGTTGAAAGAGTGGCTTAGCAGAGATTCGGAAGAGAAGTGTCCGAAAAGCAATGAAGTTTTGGCATGTATGGATGCAAAACCAAATTTCTCAGATGAGGACGATTGCACTAACCATAGAGCACCAATCCTTCAACAGACAGAATCATCAGATAATGTTGAGATATCGTCAGAACTGTCAGAAGAGCAGAAACGACAACTCAAAAGGTTAGTAGAAGAATTTGAGAATGTATTTACAGATGTTCCGAAGAAAACGTCCTACATCCAGCACACCATTAAAACGACAACCGAGGAACCAATCCAGAAGAAACCTTATTCCATTCCGTATGCGCTACAGGAAAAGGTAAAGGCGGAAATCAAGCAGATGAAAGAGATGGGAATCATAGAGGAGACGGAAAGCCCTTACTCAGCGCCTATTGTACTCATCAAAAAGAATGACGACACCCTTAGATTCTGCGTTGATTATAGGGATCTAAATAAGGTAACTGTGTTTGATCCTCGTCCGATGCCAAGAATGGATGATATACTAAACAAAATCAGTAGAGCTAAGTATATCAGTAAGTTGGATCTTACTAAGGGTTATTGGCAAGTGCCACTAGATGACGAGGCAAAACAGAAAAGTGCTTTTGTTACACCTTTTGGTCATTTCAGTTTCACGGTAATGCCATTTGGGATGGTAAATGCTCCCGCAACTTTTGTGAGATTGGTGAGTAAAGTCCTTGAAGGTCATGAAAACTATGCAGAAGCTTTTACAGATGACATTGGTGTTTTCAGCGATTCCTGGGAAGATCACTTGGTGCATTTGAGAGAGATTTTTACAGCGTTGCAGAATGCAAATTTAGCAGCCCGACCGTCAAAGTGCAAATTGGGGTTTGGTGAGGTCAGTTTCCTCGGACATATGGTAGGTGACGGTAAGATAAAGCCATTGTTGTCAAAGGTGCAAGCAATTCAAAACGTTCCGGTCCCAAACACCAAAAAGAAGGTAAGGTCATTTTTGGGTCTCATTGGATTTTACAGGAAGTTTATTCCTAATTTGTCTAGTCTTGCCCTACCACTCACAGACTTGACCAAAAAGAATTCACCACACAAAATAAAATGGACAGATAATCTTGATACTGCATTCAAGGAACTTAAAGGTAAGTTGGCATGTGAACCAATATTGCACAGTCCAGATTTTAGTCGAATGTTTGTCTTGCGTACAGATGCAAGTGCTACTGGAGCAGGTGCAGTCCTCGAACAAGAGTTCGACACTGGTAAGCACCCAATATTCTTTTTGAGTAAAAAGTTTACAGCAGCAGAGAAAAACTATGCGGTGATTGAAAAAGATTGTTATGCAATTATCTGGGCTGTCAAAACACTCCGAGTGTATTTAGAAGGTAAGCGGTTTGTTATTGAAACTGATCATGCTCCATTGACGTGGTTACAGAGATCAAAACTGTCAAATCAGAGGCTTTTGAGATGGAGTCTTCTATTGCAGGAGTTTTGTTTTACAGTTCGGTATGTTCCAGGTAATCAGAACGTTATTGCAGATGCGTTGTCAAGGTCTAGTGAAGAGTTAGAGTAAATCAAGGTCAATGGTGAATATTTCCAGTTTGTATATATGTGGTTGATTTCTATGTATTTAGTTTGTAAATAGGTTGGACTAAATGGTGCTTTAGTCTTCAAACGGGGGAGGTTTGTAACAAACTAAATTTAATCCCGTAGGACACCCCTAGTGCGTGAGTGTAAATATTGTTATTTATCCTGTGGGGAGCCCCTCGATGTTTAATTTTATCTACCTGAGAGCTCGTGTTCGGGTAGTACCCGGGAAGTCACAGCCGAGATAAGACCTGTTTGGCTTGTTGTTATGATGAAGTAGCCTGGGCGGGTACTCAAACTTCATCAGGTATTTGAAAATACAATTTGTAAAATATGTTTTCTTGTGTGAGTCTGCACGTTTAGTATGGTTGTTTTATTATATTTTTCCCCAGGGTCCTATTTCCTTTGGCTTTTGTCCCGTTTCGTAATTATCAGGTCTTGGGCAGGGTACTACAGCTAATTACATTGACAATAGCCAGTCGGCAGTCCAGGGTGACAGGGAGAGGCTTGCAATGTGTAATGGTTTTGCAGTAACAGCGGCAACTGTGTGAGAGAGTACGAAAGAGTACGGCAGCCCTGACGTACACATCCGGACCAGTAATTTAAAGTTATGTGTTATAATGAAATCTCCTGTTTGAAATAATATCAATTCAAACCAAAGTTAATCTAGACGGCATTGTGAAAGTTTATTATGTGATATATGTGATACTTGTGAAAGTTATAATATTCAATTTAATTTGTGAAAGAAAACACGTTTATCAGAGGAAATTCAAAAACCGGAACTCAAATCTCCAGCAAGGGTGTGGTGATTAATTGACTACGTTTTAAAGAACATTCTTCCAGGACTGACGTGCTGCTGATAGACAATTCGTTTCTATATTTTTTAATTTGTTTCTTTTGTTGTACAATTTACTTTTGTTTTGTTTATTAAATTTTGTTAAAATTTCATTTTGTTTTGTTTCCTTCATTTATTCAAGTTCTTAAAGTGTATAACCCACATCTCAACAATGTAATTGTCATTTTTTTAAGGCTTCTGATTTTCAAATTGTGTATTTAAGCCTTTTATTATTTTTTGGACACAACATTTAATTTTTTTATTATCATCTGTGTTAGTTTTTTTATGAATATTGGATACTTTAAATTTGTATATATATTTACGACTGGTGTAAATGTTTAAGTCATATTTATTTAATTTTTGTTTACATATAATGCTTGTACAGCGCCCTAGAGTTTTCATATATAGGGCGCTTTATAAATGTTGAATAATAATAATAATTATAAATCTTAAAAAAGTAATGCTTTATTATTCTCAATTATCAATAAGTCGTAGAATAAATGTGTAGTAGAATCATTGTCATGCTATTTTGATAGTGTATTAGGTATTGTCGTATTGCGTTGTTTTATTGTTTTTTCTTTTTTTAGAGAAATGCAAAAAATAACTTATTGTAGAATGCGACAGAGGGAAAATATTTTTAGGGTCGTTATTTTGCTATCAAATGCTATTTTTAATCTCGTCAATTTTAAAAAAGACGGTGTCCAATAAACTATATTTACATCGAACAATTTCTCAACGAGTGATGGTTTGTGAAAAAATTGTTTGAAATTAGTCCACAGTTATTTTACAAATTGAAACAGTAAAAATTAAACAGATCATTAACAGAAGATATAGATGTGATAATACCTTTTGACCAGAAAATTTCTCTTGAGAAATGTCATGGCATACGAGTATTAATGATTTGTTTGCTTTTTCAAGTACACTCAGGATCCTGTCGAATGACAACACCATACATGTTATAATTTTGCCTTCGTTGTCTTTTTCACATTGATAAGTTAGGGGATATAATCTGCTTAGAAGTTTATTAAATAACTACTGCTTTTGGATATTTTGGTGATCATAGTGTACAATTGCTTTAATGGCACAAACCTCTAGTCTAGTATTTTAAATTAAACAAGAGGCCCAAGGGCCTTGAATCGCTCTTCTGATAAATTGTACAACCTATCACTTGTATTTGAAGCCTCTAACCCTAAGTATCCTAAGACCAAAGTTGCATCACCTGACAAAGTTTGATGATTCTTAGCCAATTAGGACTACTTCTTGGTATACATTCTTGGAAAACCCAAGATGTCTCAACTGACACAGTTTGATTATTCTAAGCCAATAAATACCTAAGATACTTAAATATAGCCATAAAATGAAGAAAGTAGGTCACCGTGACCTGATTTTTGGTTGACATTCTCTGAAAACCCAAGATGCATCAACAGACATAGTTTGTTGATTCTAAGCCAGTAAGTACCAGAGATACTTAAATATAGCCATAAAATGTCGAAAGTAGGTCACCATGACCTACATTTTAGGTGACATGTTTCAAAGTCCAAAGATGCATCTGCTGACTAAGTTTGATGATTCTAAACCAATAAATACCTGAGATATTCAAAAGTAGGTCATCGTGACCTACTTTTTGGTCGACATTCTCCGAAAACCCAAGATGCATCAACTGACAAAGTTTGATGATTCTAAGCCAATAAGTACGGGAGATACTTAAATATAGCCATAAAATGTCGAAAGTAGGTCACTGTGACCTAATTTTTGGTCGACACTCTCCGAAAACCCAAGATGCATCAACTCACAAAGTTTGATGATTCTAAGCCAATAAGTACCGGAGATACTTAAATATAGCCATAAAATGAAGAAAGTAGGTCACCGTGACCTAATTTTTGGTCGACACTCTTCGAAAACCCAAGATGCATCAACTGACAAAATTTGATGATTCTAACCCAATAAGTACCGGAGATACTTAAATATAGCCATAAAATGCCGAAAGTAGGTCACCGTGACCTAATTTTTGGTCGCAACTCTTCGAAAACCCAAGATGCATCAACTCACAAAGTTTGATGATTCTAAGCCAATAAATACCTTAGATATTTAAATATAGCCATAAAATGCTGAAAGTAGGTCACCGTGACCTACATTTTGGTCGACATTATTTAGAGTCCCAAGATGCATCTCCTGACCAAGTTTGATGATTTTAGGTCTGAAGGGAATCAAAATATGCCTTTTACACAATTTAAAAACATATGCTAGCAAAATTCTAAAAGTAGGTCACAGTGATCTACTTTTGCTTAAATATGTTTTTAGGTCCCAAGATGCAGCAACTTACAAGATCTGATGATTCTAACCCTTTCAGTGCCTGAAATAATGGGATTAAATGTTTTAAAAAGGTTAAGTCATAAAGTTCAAAAAGTAGGTCACGGTGACCTACTTTTAAGTTGACGTTTTTCAACGACCCAAGATGCATCAACTGACTAAGTTTCATGATCATAGACCTTAAAGTGTCCAAAATATGCCTTCAAATCAATTTGAAAACAAATGCCCGCAAAATTTAAAAAGTAGGTCACCGTGACCTACTTTTGAGTTAACGTGATGTGAAGTCCTAAGATGCATCAACTTACAAGATTTGATGATCCTAGTCCTTATAGTAAGCAAAATATAGACATTTTTATTAATTGTAAATTTAGGTCAACTTTAAAGTGACCTTGAGACCACGCCCTTTGCCCCAGGGTCATGCCTTGAACAATTTTTAATCTTCAACATATCCTGATCCTTGTATGTAAGTTTGGTGAAAATCTGCCGGGCCGTTCTGGAGAAGAAGATTTTTTGGCAACTAGTACTTTTTGTTTTGTTTTCCTGATTATCTCCCCTTGTTTTAGGGTCCAAACCCTTATTTTAGTATAAATGGTAGCCCTTGGGCCAAGGACCCCCTGTGGCAAATTTGGTACTGATTGGCCAAAGGGTTCTTGAGTTATGGCCCATATTCTAAAAAGTTAACGCACACCGCACACCGCACAAATGGCCATAGCATTAGCTCTTTGAGCCTTTGGCTCAGAAGAGCTAAAAAGCTCTTGAAGCAAGCGTACGTAATAACAAATTCAAATTAGATAAAATTGAATAATTCTTTTCGTGAGATATTGAGTGCATTCCAAAAAAGGTCTTTATGCTTAAAGCAAGAAAATAATTGAAAAAAAAAAAATAAAAATTTAACTTTCTAAATATGTTCATATATTATAATGCGAATTTCCTCAATCTAGAGAAATAATATGATGACCTAAGTAGAAATCTCAAGATAAATCATAGTATACATACCATCTGTTTCAAAGACATTAGTTTTGCAGACCTAGAAATAGAAAAACACCTTTTATAACGAGATCGAATATTTTACAATTTCAAAAAAAAAAACACACACAAAAACTCAGTATTCTAACCCATAAGTGTCAATGGTACGAAATGCAGTTTTATAATTGAAATAGACTTCATTACAATAGATTCCCGCTAATATTTGTGTATCTTTTAAACGTTTAGGTTGAATGAAAAAAGGAATGACACATATAAGAAAATGATTCCTAAAAAATGAAAAAAAAGTGATTATTAAAGCACAGGTGAAGATAACCAACAGTATGTGAATTCGGAAAAAAGTTTGGTGAACAGGGCATACAATCCTAAGCCCCCGATATTTCAGAGATCGTATGAGACGCCAAGGGGGAGGGGGTCAACATCTTTACCATTCACTAAGAACAAGAGGCCCAAGGGCCTTGAATCGCTCTTCTGATAAATTATACAACCTATCACTTGTATTTGAAGCCTCTAACCCTAAGTATTCGAACCCAGGTTGCATCACCTGACAAAGTTTGATGATTCTTAGCCAATTAGGACTACTTTTTAGTCTTCATTCTTGGAAAACACAAAATGCATCAACTGACAGAGTTTTATAATTCTAAGCCGATAAATACCTAAGATACTTAAATATAGCCATAAAATGTCACCGTGACCTACTTTTTGGTCAACATTCTCCGAAAAACCCAAGATGCATCAACTGACAAAGTTTGATGATTCTAAACCAATAAGTAGCGGAAAAACCAGGTACTTCAATATAGCCATAAAATGTAGGTCATCGTGACCTACATTTCGGTTGACATTTTTTAGAGTCCCAAGATGCATCTGCTGACCAAGTTTGATAATTCTAAGCCAATAAATACCTGAGATATTCAAAAGTAGGTCACCATGACCTACTTTTTGGACGAAATTCTCCGAAAACCCAAGATGCATCAACTGACAAAGTATGATGATTCTAAACCAATAAGTACTAGAGATACATAAATATAGCCATAAAATGTGAAAAGTAGGTCACTGTGACCTACTTTTTGGTCCACATTCTCCGCAAACCTAAGATGCATCAACTGACAAAGTTTGATGATTCTAAGCCAATAAGTACCAGAGATACTTAAATATAGCAATAAAATGTCGAAAGTAGGTCACTTTGACCTAATTTTTGGTCATCACTCTCCGAAAACCCAAGATGCATCAACTCACAAAGTTTGATGATTCTAAGCCAATAAATACCTAAGATACTTAAATATAGCCATAAAATGTCAAAAGTAGGTTACCGTGACCTACATTTTGGTCGACCTTTTTCAGAGTCCCAAGATGCATCGCCTGACCAAGTTTGATGATCGTAGGTTTGAAGGTAATTAAAATATGCCTTTTAAACAATTTGAAAACAAATGCCTGTAAAATTCTAAAAGTAGGTCACAGTGATCTACTTTTGCTTAAATATGTTTTTAGGTCCCAAGATGCAGCAACTTACAAAATTTGATGATTCTAACCCTTTCAGTGCCTGAAATAATGAGATTAAATGTTTTAAAAAGGATAGGTCATAAAGTTCAAAAAGTAGGTCATGGTGACCTATTTTTAAGTTTACTTTGTTCAAGGACCCAAGATGCATCAACTGACTAAGTTTGATGATCATAGGCCTTAAAGTGTCCAAAATATGCCTTCAAATCCATTTGAAAACAAATACCCGCAAATTTAAAAAAGATGGTCATCGTGACCTTCTTTTTGAGTTAATATGATGTGAAGTCCTAAGATGCATCAACTTACAAGATTTGATGATTCTAGTCCTTATAGTAAGCAAAATATAGACATTTTCATTAATTGTAAATTTAGGTCAACTTTAAAGTGACCTTGAGACCACGCCCTTTGCGCCAGGGTCATGCCTTGAACAATTTTTAATCTTCAACATATCCTGATCCTTGTATGTAAGTTTGGTGAAAATCTGCCTGGTGGTTCTGGAGAAGAAGATTTTTAGCAACCAGTACTTTTGGTTTTGTTTTCCTGATTATCTCCCCTTGTTTTAGGGTCCCAACCCTAATTTTAGTATAAATGGTAGCCCTTGGGCCAAGGATACCCTGTGACAAATTTGACACTGATTGGCCAAGGGGTTCTTGAGTTATGGCCCATATTCTAAAAAGTTAACGCACACCGCACACCGCACGACGCACACCGCACAAATGGCCATAGCATTAGCTCTTTGAGCCTTTGGCTCAGAAGAGCTAATAAAGTTGTGCCAATGATTTTATTATCAATTATTAACAATTATTATTTGCAAAAGCATGCAGAACATAAACAACACCGATTTTGAAAAAAAATAGTTTACAGAAATTTTTTATCACCTATATTTGCTAGATTTGGGTAATGTAAGAAACTTGAACACACAGAAACAATAACAAGAGGCCCACGGCCTTGTAGGTCTCCTGAGTATTGTGCAACAACTTTCAAACAATTAAATTTGGTTCATGTTATAAACCAGAGGCCATGGAATTCGCAATTCACAATTTTGAAAGAGGTACCATTGCTTATAATAATTTAGACTTAGCATGCTGACTCTGTTTACTTAAAACCCAGAGGTAGATCAGAGTACAATTAAAAGAAAATACACTTCCACTTTATTACCAGTTCTACACCTCATCCCAAAGGAACCACTGATCCTGGGGTCACATATTTCAAAATTTTGCAAATTTTATCATAAAATGGTTGATGAACACCAAAGAGCAAATTTCCAAGCATTAATTAATTTTAGACTTTGTATCCCCCCTCACCTCGACCCAGGGAAGGGGCATAAAAAATAGCCATTTTGCTAGGTGCCCCTTTCTTCATCATGAATATATATATTTGGATCATAGGCATTATAAAACACAGAAGCAAAGGAAAGAATTTCAAAGAATAAATGCATTTTCACTTTATAACCAATAAAACCCCGTCCTTACACCAGAACCCCTGACCCTGGGGTCATAAAATTCACAATTTTGAAAGAGGCACTCTAGATCAACTTTACTATTCAATTACATAGTTTATCTAATACCCAGAAGCAGAGAAGAAGATTTTCAAAGAATTCATGCATATTCACTATATGATCAATAGAGCCCCGCCCTAACACCAGAACCCCTGACCCTGGGGTCACAAAATTCACAATTTTGAAAGAGGCACTCTTGCTCATCATAACTATGTGCTTAGTTAGTTTATTTAATACCCAGGAGCAGAGAAGAAGATTTCCAAAGAATAAATGCTTTTTAACTGTATAAACAATAGAGCCTCAACCTAACACCAGAACCCCTAACCCTGGGGTCACAAAATTCACAATTTTGGAAGAGGCACTCTTGCTCATCATAACTATGTGCTTAGTTAGTTTATTTAATACCCAGGAGCAGAGAAGAAGATTTCCAAAGAATAAATGCATTTTCACTATATAATCAATAGGGCCCCACCCTAACACCAGAACCCCCAACCCTGGGGCCACAAAATTCACAATTTTGAAAGAGGCACTCTTGCTCATCATAATTATGTGCTTAGTTAGTTTATTCAATACCCAGAAGTAGAGAAGAAGATTTTCAAAGAATATATGCACTTTCACTATATAACCAAAAGAGCCCCGCCCTAACACCAAAACCCCTGACCCTGGGGTCATAAAATTCAAAATTTGGAAGAAGGCAGTCTTGCTCATCATAAGTATGTGCTTAGTTAGTTTATTTAATACCCAGAAGTAGAGAAGAAGATTTTCAAAGAATATATGCATTTTCACTATATAATCAATAGGGCCCCACCCTAACACCAGAACCCCCAACCCTGGGGCCACAAAATTCACAATTTTGAAAGAGGCACTCTTGCTCATTATAACTAAGGACTTAGTTAGTTTATTTAATACCCAGAAGTAGAGAAGAAGATTTTCAAAGAAAAAATGCACTTTCACTATATAACCAATAGAGCCCCGCCCTAACACCAAAACCCTTGACCCTGGGGTCATAAAATTCACAATTTTGAAAGAGGCACTCTTGCTCATCATAACTATGTGCTTAGTTAGTTTATTTAATACCCAGAAGTAGAGAAGAAGATTTTCAAAGAATATATGCATTTTCACTACATAACCAATAGAGCCCCGCCCTAACACCAGAACCCCTGACCCGGGGTCATAAAATTCACAATTTTGGAAGAGGCACTCTTGCTCATTATAACTAAGTGCTTGGTTAGTTTATCTTATACCTAGGAGCAGAGAAGAAGATTTTCAAAGAAATCATGCATTTTCACTATATAATCTATATAGCCCCGCCCTAGCACTAGAACCCCTGACCCCAGGGCCATGAATTTCACAATTTTGGTAAAGGACTCAATGCTGATAACAATCATGCAAACAGTTTGACTGCTTGATGTCCAGGAGTAAAGAAGAAGATTTTTAAAGATTGCAATAATTTAAGTGGTTTTTGCCCCACCCCCAGGCCCCAGGGGGGCAGGGACCATGAAATTCACAATTTTTGTTCCCCTTCACCCATAGATGCTGTATACAAAATTTGGTTGAAATTGGTTAAGTGGTTTCAGAGAAGAAGCTGAAAATGTTCAAATGTTAACACACGACGCACGACACACGACGACGGACGAAAACGGATAGCAATAGGTCACCTGAGTTACTCAGGTGACCTAAAAATAAGTGCAATGTCAGATATGTCACTGGAAATTATATACACGGCAATGTCTTTGAAGCATCCTTAAAGATGAGTATGTTTCATGTTTTCTGTTTTTTGATACAAAGAACTACTTTTAATGTATTACATTTTGCTTGAATGGAAATTCAATTTTCAACAAGTTAGCGCAGATTTGAATTAGCGCTGTCAGAAGTTACTAGTTATAATAAAAGTTTATGTACAAGACATTTAGCGATGTACTCGAATTAGCGGACTCTGCTCTCCACCAAAATCGCTAAAAAGAATACACCGCCAAATTTTATATGTTTACAGTATGACATGTCAAAATGGTAACAAGGAATGCCTTGCAGGATTGATTTAATAACAGGATTGGTTTAATACAGTATGTGTAATGTACTTTTATTATTTAAGATGACATTCGTATAAACCTATTGAACAACCCTCGTATATGTATAACATTTAACTCATTTTATATAAGTTACATTTCATTACCTCACACAGTACATGGATGTCAATATTGCATCGCTTCAAGGCTTCTTCAAGGTCAGAAAATGAAGAATGTAATTTTTTGCGCCATTCCAATAGGACGAAAAACATCTGGTCAATAGAGGATTTGTGATCCTTTTCTATTCTTTCGATTTCTCTGCTTAAGATTCCAAGTTCCACACCAAGAGGGTATAAATGAGTTGGACTCAAGTACCTAACTAGCCGTGACAGTTCAACTTCTTCTACATTTTTCCCATGGCAAGTATTCCCAATACCTATAAGCATATGTTGACACAATACTCATTAGTTTCTTATATGTAGAGTTCAGTTTAAGGTTTCCAATCTTTTGTGGTATATTGAACGTACCCGGACAGTTTTCGTTGCAATTTGGGATTCCATGAGATAAAGCATCATCTCCCTATTTTTAAAAGAAGTGAATTATTAAAAAAGTCACCAAGTAATAAACGTCATCCAGTAAAACTTGACCGGATCATAATAACATTAATTAGTAGATGAAAAAGCAGGACGTTTATAATTCACGTTTGAAGCATATAAATGGAATGAAATAAAACGAACAGAAAGTAATCGAACAAAAAAGGAGAATCAAACTACTATAGAAATAAATTGGTCCTTGGTAACAATCCATTAAAATTAACCACACTGGCCTCAACAAATGTTATTTTTTCCTGAAATAAAATTTCCAAAACGAGATATCAAAATAGTTTAAACTAAAAATGATAGGAATAAAAAAAAAAAACCTTACCATTTCCCGACATCCGTTGATAACAGCTAAATTGTTGTGAAATTGGAGTAAACAGGCCTCTAGAAAAGAAATAAGTGTCCTATTGATACTGTTGTAGAGAGCAGCACTGATGCTTCTTTTGGACCTCCTGTGTACAACGTATACTCGAATGTTTGAAGGATATATCTTTAATATCAGAATATGATGAAGATCTAATCGGAAAAATCCACAGGCGGTGAACAATCTACCTTCTACCACTGGCCACATAGACGTACAGAAAGAAAGCAATCTGTATCCAATAGCGGGTGGGACAAGTATTCCGTGGTTTATCGAGATGTCATAAAACTCGTATAGTTCTTTAGAATTTTCAAGAAATTTGTCTACTCTCTCAATACTGTTCAATTCTTCAATCATGCAGGGAATGAAAAATATTTTTTCCTGGTGGACATTCACTTGTTTTCCATCGTGATATGACTTAGGTTTCACAAGTATGTCCATGTGTTGAAAAATATTCAACAGGATATCTGCATGCTTGTTTAGAAGTTCATTGCTTGACCATATTTCTTTTATTGCATCTTCTGATACGACACCTTTAGTTGATAGATTTTTCCAAATTTCTGCATTCACTCCTGCTTTTTTCATATGGCCTCGTGTTGAAATTAGACTTTTCAGAGCTCTTATTAGAAACGAAGGGTCTAAAACTATAATGTCCTTCAATTTATCGGTATTGAAAAAGATAATGTCGCCAATATCATGCTGTCGTTGTAGCATGTTTTCTAAAGAAAACTCTGTCAAAGGGACAATGGAGTTTTGATTAAACTCCTTGAGTTCTTTTAATGTTAAAATGTCAAGCCCTTCTTCTCTTTTAGTAACAATAAAATCCAACAGATGAAGCCATGACTTTGGGAAAAGCTCTTCCCAATGGGGCTGACACTTTGCTTCTTTTATGATAAACTCTCTGACGAAAGCATGTTTTTCTTCGTCTGTATCTTTAGCATTGAGAAATAAGTCTTCCTTTATGACTAATTGTCCTTTATCAACCAGTCCTTGATATCTTTCCTTAATCTCTAAACAAACCTCTTTTATCCTGTTGGATGTATTTTTTACCTAAAATGAAATAATTGCTATTGCATGTCTGTTAAATGACTTTTAAGGAGATAAGTGTTTTATCTAAAATTTCATATCTTCAAAGGTATATAAATAATTGTGAAAACAGCAACAGAAGTTATATTCTGTGGGAGAGTACGCCAGGCGATGGACTAAACAGGAAAAAGAAAAAAAATGTTAGATTGGATTAAAAGTATCAAATAGAAAATGAAATCCCACATTAAGGTAGTGCAAATACACAAGAATTCCATTTTTCATGTACCCAATTTCCTAAAAAGTACAGAAAGGAAAAAAGAAAAATATTGCCATATTGATAACTATGAATGACATCAGTGAGGAAAATAATGCTTTGGCATGTTTTCTTCATATTTCGTGAAAAAAAATATTCAGAATCCTACAAATTGGTCAATTGAGAGTTAACATTTAACGATGTGTTTTGCTTTCTAAATGCAATATACAGGCGTGTAATAGTTTGTTAATAAATACAGTATAACATTTGTTATATAGATAGAAGAGGGCTGATATTTGGACACATTTATAAGAAATTATGTACTATAAAGGTTGATGTCATACTTAGAAGTTAAAGGCTAAATAATGTGACCTCATCTACTGAAACATGCACTTTTTGCTATTGAGATGTATTTAATCGCTAAAGTACTTGAATCCACTGGTTCAATTTTCCTTCTTTTTACATATTTTAAATTGGGACGCATTTGAATTACCGTATAGCGGGTTATTTTAGCAGGGTGCTAATTTTGCTTAATTTGGCGTTTTGATGATAGCCCGCTAAAATATTCATCGCTTAAAGAGTAAGTACTCTTCTTACTGTTTATCTTCAAAGAGCTGAAACCCTGTGTCCGCTAAAATAAATTACGTCAAAATTATTGGTATACTTTTGAGCAGGCAAAACGCCAAATTTTACACTCGCCAGAGTAAACTCGGGTAGTAATAAAATGTACAGTGTGTACTATTTTAATATGTTCTATTCATTAAACACATATTGCCATATCTTAAAGGAATGTTGAACAAGTGCTCGACGCTTCCAATTGGAAGAACAGCAAAAAGTGCATGGAATCAAATAATGGAACGTTGGTATAATTTGTGAGAACAAAAATGTTCCTCGTGCAAACGATTAACATTAGATGGGTATATTTTTTTGTGTGCAAATAAAAAACTATACTTACAAGTTTATCAGCATGAGTCCCAATTAGAATGATACGCGGAAATCCGGGTTTATCGCTGCTTGCATAGTTTGTTATAGTAGACACCCAAAAGTCTATAAAGTCTGAAAATAAGATAGTCAATGATTAATAAATAAGATATTTGAATATGTGTGTCACACGCAAATAGAATTTGTTTCAAGTACTTTCTGTTTTATTTTTTGATTTTTTTCGTTTTTATGTGTGGATAAGAATGTAGTTTAAGCAAAATCTAACACATGGAAGTGCTCCCCCTAGATTAACAATGCAACCTAGTTTTTAAAACTTCAGAAGTGAAATTTGAGAGATTTTTTTTTTTTAAAATGACAAATATTATAATCCAAAAGAAATCTGGATTGTGTTGTATCGATAATTTAGTCATCATTCGTACCTTCAACTTTAGGCTCTGATTGTTGTGTTGGATATAAAGATCTGTCCTGAAGTTTTGCATTTAAGTTCATGGCACAATTAATGACGAGCAGATATATACATCGACTCGTAAGAAAGCTCTGGTGAGTTGTGTAGAATACATTTTGACCCCCAAAGTCCCAAAGGTCAATAAAAATATCTTTCATTCGTTTTTCAAGATCGGGTGTACTTGCCTTCTGAGACTTTTTGTGAAATTCTGAAGAAGAATTGCCTCTTTTTCTTACATTTTCAGATGATTTTTCAGGTTTTGTATATTGGGAAATGTCTTCATCGTCAGTCTGGTAATGCGCAGATGTTTTATCAGAGCTTTTTACAGACTGAGATATAGGAGTAGCAGTTTCATTATTTTTACTGCTACGATCTGGAGATTTAATCAATGTCTGCTTCTTTTTCTCTTCTACGAAGGTTGTTTTCTTTTTGCATTTTTCAGATATTCCTGTATGTTGTCGTTGTTCTTTTCTGTAATAAGGCGTCGCATTTGGTGCTGCTGCCAAGGCAGCAGGTGACATTATGTTCCCCTGAACTGCAAAGAAAGTTTAAACTCCAAGAAAGACAAGAAGATTTTCATTTTCGAATTGGAGTTTGAACAAATATCTACAGGAAACACACATCTCACTTCTTAAGGTAGAGACCGATAGCAATCATGTGATAGAAAGAATTCGCATATTTGCACGTGCTGTTTTTTTTCCGAACCGCAACGCCCTCAAATGAAAGTCACCATTTACACATTAATGTCTGTGCTACAAGATGATCTACGAAGCAATCAAGAAATTTCCTCGATTTAAAAAACAAAGTTGCCCTACTTACGAGGGTACACCGGTATCGATCTGTGCCTGATGTTGATTTCAATATAGACATTAAACACCATGAACCTGCAGATGTTAATTGGTATGACGGAAGAAGTAAGATTTTTTGCAGAACAATTTCTTTTTTGTCTGTTGTGTCCGTGTCAGGTACATAACGTGAATATTTACGACTTAGTATCATGACTATGGTGCTTGTTTAATTGCTTACGTACAGGTTTGGTACAACTACTAGATTTAGCTTGATTTACCTACAATAACATAATGTTTTTTTTACCTTCTTAAAGTTGTTTTATTTAGCTAAGATTTAAAACTTGTTATATAATCAGATTCTAACTTCTAGAATAGAATAATTGAACCAAAGATTTCTGGTGTCAGAACATGATAAAAGTCGAATTCATAAAATTGGCAAAAATGTTAATTCTAAAAGAATTATTTAATACTACAGGTGAAGCAAGTTATGGATTAGACAGTGTATTCAGCTTTCTCTGCTGAAATAATGTGGATAATCAAGTGTCATATGGAAAGAGAAAAGTCAATGATGCTTTTTACATTAACTCCAAAATAGCCATAGGTTTGTATTTAAAAGCTTTATTTGTTTCCTTTGTTATTTTTACCTTTCAATTTACACTTGCACATGTATCAGGGAAAATCCACATTTTTTCCAGGAGGGAGGGGTAAAAAGAGACGTTTTATAATACATGTGTTATCAAGTTAAATTTATGATTTTTAGTCCTTGTATTTTTAGATTACACACCATAATGTACAAATTATAATTGTTTACATGTAAATTGTAGAAACATTTTCTCAAGTCAATAATTCCTCAAAGTTAATATTGATATTTCAGGAAAGTTCAAGCCAGATCTGCTACAGCAAACTGAATTTAAAGTGCCATACTTTTTTGACAGGAAATGAAGAATATGTATGGCTAAACTGAGAATCTAACCGGGGATCCCTGCATCCCTAGTCAGGTGCTCTAGTGTACCGATAAATGCTTTTGTATAAACATGCAAAAAAGATATATTGTAAATTGAATTCAAAACTGTATGACAAAAAAATTATTAAATAGATAAATGTCTTCTAACTTAAATGAGATTGTTTCAACTAAAGCACCAAAGAATTGATATGAAAATCTGAAGAAGTCAGTATTGTTAAAATTTACAAGTGACATGGCTTTTACAGACTTCTTCACATTATCATAGCTTAATTTACAAATTAAATCAAAATTGTTTATAAATTCTATAATTTCTTAAATATATCAGGCTATCTACTTTATTTGAATTTTATTTTCATCATGTTACAGATCTAATGGAAATACATGATCCTTGGCTAATCCAGTGTCATCCAGTGTCATCTACAGTGTTACTGAAGAATATTGAATTTAAATCATCAAAGTATAATGAATTTTTCTCACTGCAGATCCTTGTGAAAAGAACACCTTTGTTGTATTGACATAAAAACAACGGAATTGTCAGGATCCTTGAACATGACACAACTGGCTGTATACGATGGCAGTTTAAAATGCATAGATGTTTACATTGATCTATGTTAGCCAATAATACAAAAAGCAAAATAGCAAGTTTATCTTTTTACCGTACATGTACTTAATGTATTGACTTTTTTGGTTGAACTACATCTAGAGTTTAACAAGAGGCCCAGGGGCCCCATGGCTCACCTAAACAAATTAGCTAGGAAGAAGCACAGATCAGATCAGAACTGAACAGTTTAGTGAAGGGGGGAAGGGGGGCTTGAATTCTTATACTACTTGAGAATGCCTTCATATTTAATACTGCATATTACTTTGCTGTTCTTGATAAAAAGATTTTTTTAAAAACATTTTCTTTCTATATATAACCATAATAATTTGAATTTGATTCCCCATTGTTTCCCTCCCTACCCAAAAGGACCATGATTTGAATAACTTAAAAATTCAATACATGAAGATGCTTACATGTCAATACGTGTATGACTAAACATAGCTTCTCTGTTCTTGGGATTTTCCCTTTATTTTTCTATGTAAAACTTTGATCCACCATTGTGGCCCCTCTCACCCTTGGTGGTTATGATTTGAACAAATTTAATTCTACACTACCCAAAAATGTTCCATATAAATACTAGTATCACTAATCATGGCTTTGCTATTCTTGAAAAGAAGATTTTTAAAATATATTTTAATGTAAAACTTGGATCCACCATTGTGACCCCACCCTATCATGGGGGTTATGATTTGAACAAACTAGAATCTACACTACATGAGGATGATTCCGCATAAATATCCCTAATCATGGCTTTGAAGTACTTGAGAAGACGATTTTTAAAAATTTTTATATCTAGTCCTATGTAAAACTTTGATCAACCATTTTGGCGCCTCCCTACCCCCGGGGGTCATAATTTGATTTAACTTGAATCTACACACCTGAGGATGATTCCACATGAGTTTTCTCTTTCCTGGCCCAGTGGTTCTTGAGAAGAAGATTTTTAAAGATTTTCCCTATATACTCCTATGTAAAACTTTGATTGGCCGTTGTGGCCCCCAACCTATCCCCGGGGGCATTATTTGAACAAACTTGAATCTAAACTACATGAGGATGATTCCACGTGAGTTTCATCTTTCTTGGCCCAGTGGTTCTTGAGAAGAAGATTTTTAAAGATTTTCAATATATACTTCTATGTAAAAATTTGATCGGCCATAGTAGCTCCACCCTACTCCCGGGGGACATGATTTGAACAAACTTGAATCTTCATTACCTGAGGATACTTCCAAATGAGTTTTACCTTTCTTGGCCCAGTGGTTCTTGAGAAGAAGATTTTTTTTAAACTGCCATGAATTTTTCACTAATTCATAATTATTTCCCCTTGGAAGAGGGCGTGGCCCTTCATTTGAACAACTTTGAATCCCCTTTACCTAAGGATACTTTGTGGCAAGTTTGGTTGAAATTGGCCCAGTGGTTCTTGAGAGGAAGATGAAAATGTGAAAAGTTTACGACAACGACGACAACAACGACAGACGACGGACAAATTTTGAACAGAAAAGCTCACTTGAGCCTTTGGCTCAGGTGAGCTAAAATTGTACACCTTCATATACAGTTTATGGTGGAATTCCTCTAACATTCATGAAAATGTTTGCAAAATCTATAATTTAAAGTTACAAATTACCACCTCTAATACATTATAATTTTTTGTGTATTTGCTCATACATGTAATACATGTATTTGGAATAAAAAAGGATATGAAGATAACGAACAATATTCAATTTCAAAGTGCTTAAAGCAATACAAAATAAGAGCAGAGCAAACACAGACCCCCGAAACATCAGAGGTGGGATCAGGTGCCATGGAGGAGTGAGCATCCCCTGCCAACCGGTCACACCCAAAGTGTGCTCCTTGTCATCATCAGGAAATAACGGAAAAAATCCGTCGTCAATCCAATTCAGTGTATACATAATGGACTAACAATTGGTATGAAAAACGTCAGTCAGCATTTGACTCTATGAAAATTGTATTTGCTGACACGGTCATTGTATCGACCATAGAACTTACGAAATGATGACTTTAAATGAAACTGTTGATATTCTTTTTTCATGAACTTGCTTGTCAATAATTTACCTCGTTTTAGAAAATGTTCATACGTAGAGCATGCTCTTGCGTATCGAATCAACTGAGATATATATAGTCCGTATGCAGGCGATGAAGGTATATTGCTGCATAAGTAAGGGAAGTTGACGATAGAAAATTTAAAGTCATCACGTTTATCATATAGCATGGTTGTTAGATTACCATTAGTGTCTTTTTCAAGTAAAATATCTAAGTATGAAAGAGAAGGATCGGACTCTGTGGTATCTTTTATCTCAACCAGTATATATCGAATGGACGTAGGGATGGAAATTACCATTATTAATTGACAATACGTTGTCGATATATCGAGTTGAGTAGAAGGCCACAGCAAGTGTTTTCCTCTTTTCACGCACAAGATCTAGATTTTGCTTAAATTCTGCTACATATGAATATAAAAAATAAGTCTGCTAATAACGGAGTGCAATTTGTACCCATGGGTATTCCAAAAGATTTTGGAACACCTGATCTCCAAAAAACCACATGGATATTGTCAATCAGAGACTCAAGCATTTTCTTGATGTCAACTTCAGAGTACTTATGCGTGCAATCGGAATCTGTTTTAACAAAATAATTTTGCAAATGACCAATGACGAAGTACTAAGTAAATTAACGAGTGTTATTTTTATTGAAGAAGCAGCTGTAAATAATATCAAAAAGCCTGGATTTTAATTTGTCGTGGGGAATTGTTGTGTATAAAGTTGAAAAGTCGTAAGTTTTAGGTGTTGATTTTTGTAAAGTCTTGTAATTTCAAATTGTCTAAAAGTTCTTTATAATTTTTTTAGTTTCCACATCTGATTCACACCACTTCTTGAATATATAGTTGCACAGTAAAAAGGAATTGTAAAAAAAAAGTGAATTTAATAATATTGTTGTCAAAGGAGGATAAGACCAGTTTATTTATGCACAGGATTGGTCTAAGGGTATTTTCATTGATAATTCATCGAAGAATCATTTGTATAATGCATCTATTAAAGTCAATTTACATGTAAATGATATAGAAGAAAATTCTTATCTTTTTATGTTACCAAAAGGGCAACCAGGACAACACGTGTCTAGGTGTACATGTATGAATTGCTTTTGTGATAATAAACGTAACTTAGTAGAATATTACAAAGAATTGATTCATATTCTGTGAAATATTTTGATAAATTCTTGAAAATCTCTCTTAGCCACCATATTCTTCAAACGTGCATCCTTCAAAAGGAAGGGGGTATGGTAAGGTGTAAGATAATAAACTTGTTCCAAGATGAATTTAAACCCCATTATGTAGTATGATTTTTTTTCTCTGAAATTTAAGATTCTATAATAATTTAAGAACTATAATATGCAATAAAAAGAAATTTGATGGGTATTTTTTTCCCAGTGAAAGCAGAAGTGTGTGACTTTGTGCAATGAATAGGTAATATTTTAACTAAATTTGACCATGCATCTTGGTGAATGTAATTCTGTTTTTTGCTTTCAGTGCTTGGTAAATTTAAGATATTGTAATATATATGAGGGTGGACTTTAGAATATTGCATATTAATCACAGGCTGATGGTGGAGTATTTTTAAGTATTGTAAAGTAGCATCCAGTTGTAAATTTATGAGAATTTTTTTTTGGTTCATGTTATTTTATTATCTTATTGTTTACCTTAATTATTGATGCAAAACACATTGCACTTCGACATTGTTATGTAAACAAATGCTGTTTTTGTATTACTAGACGATCTAGCGAGATATTGATGAACAGACAGTCATCTCAGTTATACTGAGATGATATATGTCAGTTTTTCATCATTATCTACCATATTACGACTGTAATTTACTTACTTATTTCAGCATTATAACGTGTTGTAAATTGGGTGCCTGTCATCTTTCTTACGAAGAAAATAGTAATGTGACATAAACACTGTCGTTTTACAATTGATATGATCGAAATAATACTGTCCGTGTTCTCAAATATTTATACTTGATAGTTTAATGTTATTTTATTGCAGTATTGTCATTTAAGTATGTTTTATTCGACGAAATGTTTTGGAACTTGAATGTGTAGCGAATACTTATGTGTGTACATAATTGTCCGGTATTACAAGCCGTAGATTGTGCGTGTCAGTTTTATTATAGATTGTTTGTTGAACTTATTTTATTTTGTATATCAAATAGAATTTATAGCTCTTACTTTACATGTAGAGAGGACATTTTGAGCGATGTTATTTTCTTTGTATTACACATTATGCATGTGAAGAAGTTCCGTGAGGTTCCAAACAGGACAAGTATACATTGGTTGTTGTGATCACGTGACCATTTATAGAAGGTTATATATATGAGCAGCGAACGCCAGTTACACAACAACGATCATAACGATCAGATCATATTACGTCATCAACATCACTTCTAGCGACTTAGGTATGAGAAAACAATGTAAACTAATACAAATTAAGTAGCGTATAATTTCTCCACCGCACGGACACCGCAATCCATTGTATTTTATTAGGCCAGATATGTTAAGCTAGGACTTAGATTCATATAGATGTACTGACTGTTTTGTTACATTTCGTTGAAGTCTTTATTAAATGAAATATTTGAAACGAGAAATGGAAATTGGTTATGATTAACAGGAATATGAAGTAAATTATCAAGGGTGTTTAAATACATGCGATGGGCTGAGGATGCCCCCCCCCCCATTTTATATGTGAACGGATGTCATGAGTAGTCCTGATAAAATTTAATTAACTGAATTTACACGGGATGGAAACACTGTAAGCTGATTGGCATTTGACAGGGTGCTGAGGAAGCTTACAATATATTAAGATAATTAAATTGATATAGCAATAAAAAAAAATTACAGTCCTTTTCATATCATATTCCTATATTATTTTATTCTGCTTTTTCAGCTCGTCGGTGGTTGATGAAGGCTATGTCAAAATTGTCAAATTTCTCTTAAACTAGCCCGATGACCTGCCTTGAATTTTTTATATGATTTAGAGGAAGGACCCAAAAAAAAAACATATAAAATTCAGAAAAATTCGATGGGTATTTTTTTTTTTTTTGCTGTTAACCTATCAATCTCTACCTTAATACAAATTATGATGATAAACAAACCTAAACACCACTTTTTAGAGTCCTGTTGCAAATCTTCCATTCGACATCGAGCTCGAAACAGGTCAATCCCATCCGTGCTTTCTATTACTTTCTTATCCTCTCCAATTAAACCGTATGTCAATGTTGTTTTCCCAACTCCATAGTGACCAACAACCATTATGCGAACCTGTCGAATTTTGCAGGATCCATATCTCAGCTCATTTTCAAAAGCTTCTCTTGATACTAAAATAGGAATTAAACATGTTCTTTTTAATCAAATATACCTTATTTGCCATACCGTTTTACGAATGACATGTTCTTTAAATTAGAGGACATTTATACAAGGTCTTTATGGCATACTCAAGGTAATTCTTATTTAAGGGTAAGGAAGCAATACCAGATCTTTTTATTTCTACTCTACTTTAAAATCAATATTTTGTTACTTTTTTGTCAAAGATAACTACATTTTAATTTTGAATCTAAAATAAATCCTGTTATTCATGAGAAAAATAATTGTAATTAGCAAAACTATTGTTATTTCTGCTATGCACTAATAGGTTTATTTTATGGAAAAATGGTTTGAAAATAACATTTATTAATTCAAATAATTGATGTGCTTATTTTATAAGGAAAACTTTGTTGCTGCTATTTGAGTGGGTTAGCTAGAGTATAAATGAGACCAGGTTCGGGATATCTCAAATCCCCCTCTTTGTCATGGATCCTAAAACGAAAGGTAAACGAATTTTGTAGTAGACAGAATTTTCAAAAAAATATGCTTTCAATCACGATTGTTTCTTAAATAATTTCATAAAATAGTATAGACAATTTTCTGATTTGATGATTAGATGCATTGATTGATTATTCGTTTTCGAAAAAATGCGAGATTTGCATGGATGAACAATTTCCATGTCGGCATACATGTGGCATAAATTGTGTTAAAACTTGGTTACGTTTTAGTTTTACAAGCAAATATATTTATCTGATTGAGGAATGTTTTTGTAATTATGTTTTTAAAATGTATAAATCGTGCATTAAAAAAAATAAATAAAAATAAAGGAGGGGGGGGGGGCTTAATGGCAGTAAAAGTGATCAAAACAATATAATCGGTGTCCATCAATTTTCGCAGCCTTAATGCAATTGAACATTCCCAAATGATACAAAAGGAATTTTTTTAATGCATTTTGCAGGGCAGTAATTGTGATTTTAAAAAAAATTGGGGGGGGACTCGGAATCAAAGTTATACCATTACCAGGATCAACAGAGAAAATTTAAATATTGTAAGTTGTAATTGTAATGTTCAGCATAAATCAGGATATAAGTTATTATCATGCAATAAAAACTTAGTTCATATTTGGCTAAAATAATGCCCTCCACATTAAACAACATAATGAACCAACAAGACAAGTCATTGCTTTATTTGAAACTTCAAAATTGATGTACTCTGACTTGAATATTAATTCAGATATTCTCGGGTGTGTAGTTGCTCCTTATTTCCTTTTGGCAATTGCATGAGGGATATGGAGATAACGAACAGTATTCAATTTCAAAGTCCATAAAACAATAGAAAATAAGAGCAGAGAAAAACAGACTCCCGAAACATAAGAGGAGGGATCAGGTGCCATAGAGGAGATAGCATCCCCTGCCGACCGGTCACACCCGCCGTGTGCTCATTGTCATGATCAGGAAATAATTTAATTTCAATTGTATCAAGCAATTTCATTGGCTGAATCATTCTGAGGAACACATAATATTATGTATAACAAAACTTTCCTATGACACAATGAGTTACGTCAAAAATGTATAACTCCGCTTGACGTTATTTTCAAAATAATGCCCAATTTGAATACGTTTTCCGGTGGAAATATTGTCCCATCTCACACAAGATTGGGGGATATCTACATCACCAACCCAGTTGTTCAGGTGATGAGCTTATTGAGTGTCAAAAGAAAAGCTTTAATTTGTCTCGCATCCCAGGTTTTATCAAATAAATCGAACGACTCAGACATATTAAAACGAGGAAAAATATTCTTATTTGCGAAATATTTTAAAATGGACTTTAAAAAATATATTATTTATCATTTATTGTCATACCATCAAAACTTTACGCGGTATCAGAGCAGAAAACGTCAAAAAACGCAATGTGCGTTAAAGTGCGTGATTGTGGGGTAAAGGTATATGCGTTAAAATGCGTGATTGTGGGGCAACGGTATATGCGTTAAAATGCGTGACTGTGGGGAAAGGGGTTAATACATTGTTTCCCATAGTTATAATAAATCATTTAAAACACTATTTTGATCATCAAAGAGTTATAGATTAAAATCGTTTGGACCATCTGAGCCTCTCATTTGAGAGGAGTCTGCTATTTTTTTTTTTAAATCAAATAAAAGTTCTTGTGATTGTTTTTTTTTTTTTTATTTCATCGTTCATCTTTTAAGGTTCAAAAACCCTTTTATCTCTTGTAAATCGTATGCATCTTCTGTTTATCATCTAAATACAGTGTACATGTCTCGGAAATGTCGTATTTTTATTAATGGATGATGAATGTTAGGGTTATGGCACTATTACATATGTCTATAAGTTTATCTATTCTTTGATCTGAATGACAAATACATTTAACTTTTTAAAATTGGATTGAGATGTGCATGTTTTGTATTACCTGCAACGCCATGCTGTCCCAGTCAGACAACTAAATGTGCCTCTAATTCTAAGGAATTCCGTAATGGAAAAAAACGTAATACATATTGAAACAGTTTAGCAGGTACACAAATAAAAACGTATAACGTTAATCCCTGTTAGAAGACATGGGAATGAATCTAATATGACTTAATGCAGCGATATTTCTTGCAAAGGCATTCCAATACAATTAGAAGTAATATATGACATGAAGATATTTACACAATATTGACGATTTCTTTTCTTTGTTGGATCCATTTTCTAGTTCCTGTTAAATAAAAAATAGAATGCCTTCATTACCTATAATACATTTAGCATATTTAGCATATATCATACATAGGTAAAGAATCATTTCTTTCATTGTAATCATGATTGTTTTAACATGATATAAATGCACTCATAAAGAGTGAAAAAATATATGAAAGTTCTGATGACCAATTAGAGAAAATAATTATTCTCATTTTGCCTTCCTATCACTGTCAATTAGATATTCACAAATTGTTTGATTTGTTGATTCTATGAAGTCCTTTCAATTTTTCACTCATAATGAAACTGATCGATAGTGGAAAATATGCACATGACACCAAAGGAAACTAGGTAGCCAAGATAAAACAAAGAACAAAACTTATTTTTGGCAGAAACAGGTAAATTGCAGTTTTTTGCAAATATTTTATTTTAAAAAGAATGTATATATTACGATAGAACACCTGTATTTCAATTTTTTTTTAACCCATCATCAGTATTGCTACGTTTGTTTCTCGCCTTCACTATTTCATGATGTGTTACCATTTTAATTTTTTCTATAAGATCATTATCGTTTAAGGATATAGTATATTAATAAGCAATATTTACGTTTTCCCAAAAACTCAAAGTCGTCTGTACATTTATCACATGTTTGTCCTGAAGTTGACACTTGCACTGCGTTTCTGTAGCCTTCATTTTGGAGAGCTCACTTGCAAGGGTAAAAGATAAATCTCTCTCATTACAAATAATGTTTTGGCATTTGAATCCTTTATAGAAAATGTTTGTGTCAATAAATGTTTCTGTCAAATTCTCTATGGCATATTCAACGTAGTCTCCAATTTCGTTTGAAATCTCTTTATCCACAGCCAATGGTCTGATTCGCAACACTTGCAACTGAATTTCGTCATTACATATGCCAACAACAATAGTGTGTTCTTTGTGATCAAACACTGCCGCTGTTTGATAAAGACATAAATTTCCTTCATGATTTTCATCTGTTGAAACTTTCCATCTAAGAGTACCCATGCAGTACGCTACCAGTCTGTAGAACACAAAAATGGCAAAGGAAGTGAATCGATAGCACAAAATGGACGAACATTCCCACTTATCTTCATGGAAGTCAGCTTTGAACTGCTTTTTGTTCATACATGGGACATACCATGACATTCCATCTTCTGATACGGCCTCAAATGAATTCAAATGTACCAGCATTTGAAGTTTCTCCATGTATGGCATAATTTCGCTTTTATGTGTCAAGTATAAAGGTATCATCTTTCCATAAAGAAGCTATCACTTTATCTTTAAGCTCCCCTGTTTTGTTAAAAGATTTCCACTCCTCTATTAGTTTCCTTTCACAATCTTTACTGATGTGGTTTTCATCAGCAATTATCTTGCTGAAAGCATTAGCAAACCACTGAATGTCTAATATAACATGTTCCCTCAATTTCCCTTCTTCAAAATTCAGAAGAAGGCCACTGTCATGGAAACATTTTAAAAATTTGGTCATTTCTTCATCACCTTTGATTTGGTATTCATAAGGAAGAGATGAGTTGAGCTTCCAGATTTCACTCAGGGACAAAACCTTCCAGTCTCCTTCATACAATAACTGCTCCATTAGAGCCCATGAAGAAGGCAATTCAATTTTTGTAGTATTCTCATCCATAAATAATTCCACTATGGAGTTTTTCATTGACTCTAGCATTGCTTTAGTGTTATCATTAAGTTCCTTTAGACCCACTGCATATTCACGATCATTCAGAGACTCACTTAACCAATCTCTGTCCTCGTCTGGAACAGCATTCCAGAACTCCCCAAAGAACCTCTCTATTTCCTGAAGAAGTAAATAAAGCAGGTATAAAATATTAATTCATATTTGTAAACTAAACCACTTAATTATGTGTCGATGTTTGAAAATGTGCAGTAACAGGTATTTCAGTATTAAATGTGGTGCACAGTTCAAACTGACTTCAACTGCACTGTAAATCTGGTATCCATTGTTGAATTTCAATTTATATGAAACTTAGGATGCAATACAAAATACTGTAAACGTTATACATTTGGCTGTGTATTCTTTTAAGCACTATTGGCGGAAAGCAATCTCCCCTAATTCAAAAACAGCGCTATATGCCTTACACATATAAGACAAGAGGCCCAGGGGCCACATCGCTCACCTGAGCAATTTGCTAGGAAAAAGCACATATCAGATCCGAACTGAAAGTTTACTGAGTTTGGGGGGGGAAAGGCCCTGGGGGGCTTGAATTTTAACCTCATTGGGGGTCATGGTTTGAACAAATATGAATCTACACCACCTGAGGATGATTCCATATAAATATCATTAAGCATGGATTTGAAGTTCTTGAAAAGAAGATTTTAAAAGGTTTCCCTATATATTCCTATGTAAAACTTTGATCAGCCATTTTGGCCCCACTCTACCCCCGGGGGTCAGGATTTGAACAAACTTGAATCTACACTACCTGATGATGATTCCACATGAGTTTCATCTTTCCTGGCCCAGTGGTTCTTGAGAAGAAGATTTTCAAAGATTTTTCCTATATATTCCCATTTAAAACTTTGATCGGCCATTTTGGCCCCACCCTACCCCTAGGGGTCATGATTTGAACAAACTTGAATCTACACTACCTGGTGATGATTCCACATGAGTTTCATCTTTCTGGCCCAGTGGTTCTTGAGAAGAAGATTTTTAAAGATTTTTCCTATATATTCCTTTGTAAAACTTTGATCGGCCATTTTGGCCCCACCTTACCCCCAGGGGTCATGATTTGAACAAACTTGAATCTACACTACCTGGTGATGATTCCACATGAGTTTCATATTTCCTGGCCCAGTGGTTCTTGAGTAGAAGATTTTTAAAGATTCTTCCTATATATTCATTTGTAAAACTTTGATCGGCCATTGTGGCTCAACCTACCCCCGGGGGTCATAATTAGAACAAACTTGAATCTACTCTACCTGAGGATGATTCTACATGAGTTTCATCTTTCTGGCCCAGTGGTTCTTGAGAAGAAGATTTCATTTGAACAAACCTGAATCCCCTTCACCTAATGATACTTTATGGCAAGTTTGGTTGAAATTGGCCCAGTGGTTCTTGAGAAGAAGATAAAAATGTGAAAAGTTTACAACGACAACAATGACAACGCCGACAACAACGACGACAACGACAACGCCGACAACGACAGACGACGGACAAATTGTGATCAGAAAAGCTCACTTGAGCCTTTGGCTCAGGTGAGCTAAAAAGCATTATGATATGCGCCAAATCAAATCCATGCTAACTTGTTAAAATTCAATTTCCGCCATATTTCGTACTTCTAAATATAATACATTAACAGTATATTATATGTGATACAATTGACTGTCAAATAAATTTTGGTTCTTTTGTATTTTTGAAGTTAAACTGTAATAGTGCATTCTCAAAATATGTTAGTTTCAGTTATTTTTTGTGATTCACATTTCTATTAGCCTGAGTACTTACATCTGTAGATTTTGTTTCTGTGTGTGTGGCAACAAGAAACAGTGGTGCCTTTTTGCCTCCAAATGTCTTGATTGAGGTTATCCAAAACTTCAAGTAGTCTGAAAGAAAACAAAATTTGGTAAACTAAAAGAACAACTTAGCACCCTAATAAAAACAAACAGGTCTGTGTCTCTGGTAAGTGTGTATCTCTACTGCTTTATATTAAAAACATGGAAAGTAAAAGACCTTCAATCAATACTTTTATTTTTGGTTTTACAATAATCTAGCAGAATTACATGAATATGACTTCATATTTTGTAAACCCATCAATAATTATTAAATAGAATATGAATTATGAAATGTGCAATATTTAAATTTTTGAAAAATAAATATTTACATATCTTCTTCCTTCCGTTTTAAATGACAAATCTTTTGTTGAAAACAAGAGGCCCAAGGGCCTTGAATCGCTCTTCTGATAAATTGTACAATCTATCACTTCTATTAGAAGCCTACAACTCTATTAGTATGATAAGACCGAAAATGCATCAACTTACAAAGTTTGATAATATTTAGCCATTTTTTAATATAATAATAAAATACCATAAGTGGGTCACAGTGACCTACCTTTTGATTGAAATTTTCTGAGTACTCAAGATACATTAATTGACAAAGACTGATGATTCTCATTAAATAATTACCTGAGATTTTCAAAAGTAGATCACCATGACCTACTTTTTGGTCAACATTCTCTGAAAACCCAAGATGCATCATCTGATCAAGTTTGACAATTGTAAGCCAATTAGTTCCAGAGATAATTAAATAAAGCCATCATATGTCAAAAGTAGGTCAAGGTGACCTACTTTTTGGTCGACGTAATCCAAACACCCAAGAAGCCTAAACTGAGAAAATTTACTTATTCTAAGCCAATAAGTACCTGAGATATTCAAAAGAAGGTCACTGTGACCTTCTTCTTGTTGGACATTCAATGAATCCAAAAGATGCCTCAACTGACAAAGTTTGAGGATTCCGAGTCAATAAACACCAGATAATGAAATATAGCAATAAAATGTTAAAAGTAGGTCACAGTGACCTACTTTTTGGTCGACGTTATCCAAAACCCAAAGTGCCTAAACTGACAAAGTTTGATGATTCTAAGCTAATACCTACCTGAGATATTAAAAAGTAGGTCACTGTGACCTACTTTTTGCTTGTCACTCTCCGAAAACCCAAGATGCATCAACTGACAAAGTTTGATGATTTCAGGTCAATAAGTACCAGAGTCTGAGATACTTTATTATAGCCACAAAATGTCAAAAGTAGGTCACCGTGACCTACTTTTTGCTCGTCACTCTCCGAAAACCCAAGATGCATAAACTCACAAAGTTTGATGATTCTAAGCCAATAAGTACCAGAGATACTTAAATAAAGCCATAAAATGTCAAAAGTAGGTCATCATGACCTACTTTTTGATCGTCACTCTCCGAAAACTAAATATGCATTTACTCACAAAGTTTGATGATTCTAAGCCAATAAATACCTATGATACTTAAATATAGCCACAAAATGTCGAAAGTAGGTCATCGTGACCTACATTTTAATTGACATTTTTCAAAGACCCAAGATGCATCTACTGACCAAGTTTGATGATCGTAGGTCTAATGGTAATCAAAATATGCATTTTAAACAATTTGAAAACAAATGTTGGCAAAATTCAAAAAGTAGGTCACAGTGACCTACTTTTTCATAATTATGTTTTAAGGTCTCAAAGTACAAGATTTGATGATTCTAAACCTCCCAGTGTCTGAAATGATGGGATTTAATGTTTTTTTGAAAGGATAAGTCATAAAGTTCAAAAAGTAGGTCACGGTGACCTACTTTTAAGTTGACATTGTTCAAGGATCCAAGATGCATCAACAGACAAAGTTTGATGATCATAGGCCTTAAAGTGTCCAAAATATGCCTTCTAATCAATTTGAAAACAAATCCCCGCAAAATTTAAAAAGTAGGTCATCGTGACCTACTTTTGAGTTAATATGATGTGAAATTGTAAGATGCATCAACTTACAGGATTTGATGATCCTAGTCCTTATAGTAAGAAAAATATACACGTTTTTATTAAATGTAAATTTAGGTCAACTTTGAAGTGACCTTGAGACCACGCTCTTTGCCCTAGGGTCATGCCTTGAACAATTTTCAATCTTCAACATATCCTGATCCTTGTACAGTGCAGGGAACTAATTTTGTTACATAAACCAGCATCAGGATCAGCATAAGTAGCATCAGGATAGAACTAGCATCAGCATCAGCATTTAAAAAAACAGCATTACTTGGATCAGCATCAGCAAGCAAAGGATAGAACTAGCATTGACCTAATTAAAAACCAGCATTGACCTACTTAAAACCAGGATTATGCTGGTTTACTAATTTTACGGATTCGTTTTTCACAAAAAGATACGCTACAACTAATATTGTTATTTTTGGCAAGGGATTCACCTATACATGTCTGTAAAATTCCTTATGACATAATTAAAATATGAAATAATATTTCAAATGATTATATTTTGTGAAAAAATCATAATTCGGCGTTATTTATACCGGAGTCTGCTGATTGCGTTGACCCGTCTGGGCGCCATTATTGTACAGGGCGGCGTGGTGAACGGTTGGATAATTCAGATGGATAACAAGGTACGTAGTATTATAATTATTGTCTTTTACACTATTAATTATTGGCTGTGATCAAATTGTATATAGCATTTATAAAAGTGTGGTTTACACACTGTAGCCCAGTGTAGAGAAGGTAGTTATTTTTTATAACTCGAATTTCCTTGGTCGTACATGTGCAGTGATTGCAAGGGTACTAGTACTACAGTACTACTGTATTGCCAAGATCAATTTGACAAATGTCTTGAACACGAAAATATCGTAGTTAGGATTTTTTTGTGTAGGTGTACATGATAGAATATGTGGTGATAACAAAACAGCATTAGAATTCATTACAAGACAGGAGCGGACACATAATCGAAAATCGTCATGCTGGGATTTTTCAAGAGCTCAATTACAAAAATTCTGAGTACATGTAAATGTTTTAGTATGTTATTTCCGAAACGTAATAGTTTTTAATCAAGTTTTCTAGCAACCACTTGGTTGTTAACTTATATGACACCCTGAGGCCAATTTCAATATTACTGAAAAATTGAAAATCATAGATTATGAAAATTTTACCTACATGTAAATGTATCCCTATCACAATTCCCCCCCCCCCCCTTCAGAAATTTTAATGAAGACAATAATTTACAGTATCAATTTATGAAGAGGAATCAGTGTTATGGACTTCATAGAATAAAGTACATGTATGTAAATAGTATCAATTAATTTTTTGTTGCCCGTTAAAATGTTCAGAATGCTTAAATTGTTTATCAAAGTTATTAATTGTGAAATGCTTTGTAGACTTCTGAATTGTCAGAATGGCGTCAGAATTAAGTCCTAAAGATGGATTACACTGTACCCTGTCTGCAGAAAATTGCTAGGTCTAAAAAAAAAGTTTTGGGCATGAACCTTTCTTACATATGATTATGATAATTAAGGTCATTGGCAAGGCAGGGTTTCTGTAGAAAAAAAAGGTTTCAAGTAGAGCTGAAACGAATGTTCGAACATTCGCGAACGAATAGTTTTTCACGAATATTCGAATGGAAAATTTGTATTCGAATATTCGGTCACATGTTTAATACAACGTATTTCATGCAATAAATGGTGTAGGCCTTTCCACTTGTTTTTGATCACTGTGGAAAAAGAAGCAAAGAAAGCAAATACATGTATAAGACAGGTTGTAAACTTTGTCCTAATGGTACTACTGGCCTGATAAAGACACGATGTCAGATTTATTTAATCATCTTCAAGGCAAATATTCAGCAACCTCATGTGTCTCCGAATTAATTTAGATATGGGTGACATTGACTGCCATGATTTTCGAAAGTAATAAAAAATTTATATTGTGCGGAGAGAAATATTCCAGATCAACAAACGGAATCGATTGATCAGATTTATAATTTATAAATAATTGCAGAAATCATATATGAAAAATATACATTATATTACCGGTATATTTTTTTAAGAATGTTATATTTTAAATTTAAATATTGATTAAAACATTCACAGGACGCTTCCGGAAACGAACCCTTTTTAAAAATTTTTATAACAGAAAAACATGGCGAGTACCTGCTGGTTTGCTGATTGGGTGTTTAATGTAATCGGAATGCAAAAGTTTAATGTAATTTACAGAAATAAAGAGGCTTATAATTGTTGATAAAGATTCTTTTTCTATTTTTTTTCTTGAAAATAAATGCGAGTCCTAATGCACATTTACATGTCAAACGGCTTGGAGCAGACGTTTTTTTCTTACACCTATCTTATACATTGATATATAGTAATAAACAATAGGATTTGCAAGTATATGAAAAGGCATAATAACTCTTTTATTTAATTGCCAAATGTTTGAATACGAATCGAATAACAGTCACGAATATTCGAATGTTGATTTATGGTATTCGTATCAGCTCTAGTTTCAAGATCAAATTCATTTATTTATTTCACTCACACCAACATCAGTGGTACATGAGGTACAATATATATATATAAATAAGTTGTCATAATTGTAAGAAAAATAATGAATAT